TAAAGTCAGGGATTTTCCACTACATTTTGGGAATGGGGCCTGGGCCCTTGGAATTGGGAATTTGATAACATTTCATCACTAATTGGAAATTATATACCATGACAATATTTTCAAGAAATAAACACTTATGATGAATAAATGTGAGCTTTTATTTAATTATTCAGAACCTTTAATCAAAGGAAAGACTGTAAACCAACTATTATTCGTATCATCTTTTTTTCGCAATTCGTCAGTTTGAAATCAATCTGTGACAATTAATTTTCGTGACTGAGGAATCATTCTTTACAAATACAAAGCAAAATAAATGGTTCGCAGCAATTCATATTCATGAGTTGAAGTGGGTCGCAAAACTCACGGATATTTCTCGCAAATAAAAGTTTGTTAACAGTAATTAACAAACTTTCAGTCATCAATAGAACAAGACTTCCCTGAACTTTTATAACTCCTTTGATTTTCAACAGCGACTGTAAAACATAATTCATTTTATGGGGAAATTGAGAATGGAGCCTGAATTCGGCCCTACATGGGGCAATGGAAAATCCCTGGACTTAACATTTAGGTAACATGAAATGTAAACTTGATATTAAATAAAATTACTTTTTACTTGCCAGCAAGTCAAGAACTTGATACACCAAGGTGTAGAGATATTCTACCTGTAAGAAAGGGTAATAATTGATTTCAGTCTCGGTACATTATTACAGTAACTTTACCTGAACATCTTAATCTATATGCTCATTTCTCATGAAGAATCCAATTTACAGTGTTTGTCTAACAATGTCAGTTACATGAGTATGTTTATATCATACATTACAATTATATACATACCTTTTTACTATATACACATACAGAGCCCTGAATCAGCATTGCTGCCTCAGCAAAATTCATGGTAGTAATCCCTCCATCAAAAGTAATCACTATATTGCCAAGCTACAGATCATCAAAAACAAGTTCAGTACTACAAGGCCACAACTAAAATGTTGGTTTAGCGTTGCCGACTGAGTCTTTAAACGGTTGGGTCGGTAGGTAGGGAAATTTTTTTTTTTTTTTTTTTTGCTGATACAAAAAATAATGCTGTTAAATTAAATGTGTTATATCATAACTTAAGTGAACAAACAACTCCTATGTCAAAACAGAGAGGAAATTTCACACAATATCATACAGACATCTAATACAGTTTCATGTCTTGACAAGAATGAAGCAAGAAGAACTGAGATTTGATTCCTGCTTTCTGAGCAGGAAATGGCATTACATTTAATCTAACATGACTGATATTCACAAAAACTTTAAGTTACCATTTTTATAAAATTATTTCAAAACATAACTCAGTAAATTTGCCATATTTTTGATGTAAAAACAAGAAAAACCCACATATTTATACAAAACAAATCAAACAACAATATTCTAGAAAATATTCAAAAGAAAATTCAATAGAAATGTTAGATTCAATAAAAAAGATTCTATCTGTATATCAAATTTGACTAGATTTTATGACAGTGGAGCAGATAAAACTGTTTTAATTTCAGAAATGGCACAAGTACCAGTATCCAAGAGCCATGGGTTTCCCCACAAAAACAACCACCGTCCAAAGTTATTCCCATTTTTGTCAGTGATTTGAAAACCCTATTAGTTTTTAAACTTACACATGATATTAAAAAATCTCCGACATTAAATTGACACAAAAACCTTATGATCATATGCACGAATCCAAGCATGGCCGCTCGCTAATTTCATCTAGGAAATCGGACAGGGCATTATACCATGAAATTTCATGTCAAACTGGTATATCTGTCCGTCAGTTTACCTTTGCCTTTTAGAAACACATTACCATAGAGTTATGCCATCAAATTCTGTTATACCGAGTCGGCAGCCATTGCTTGGATTTGTGATGCTCATTTTATTCAACATCACATAGATTTATGCTTGTAAATGAAAACTGTTCAATCAGTCAAGCGTTTACATGATTCTTTCTCATCCTGTATATTACTCAAACCTACATATCCTAAATTCGGATGAATATAACAAGGAAAAAAATATGAATCCTATCAGTTGAAAAAATTTCTTCGGATCACACCGATTTATGCTAGTCGGCCGGCAACGCCAAACAAAGCTAATTTTATTTTTGGCCCAACTAACACATAATTTCCTTCATTTTGTTAAACAGTGTTCTAGAAACCAAGGCTTTGGGCTTTGTTTGGAGACACTGAGTATCTGGGTTTAAGTTATTGACACAAAATATAGCATTCAATTTGCACTGTATAGTAGATAATTGTAAGATAATCCCCCTAACTTTGAAAACAGTTTTGGAATTTTTTTGTTTGGGAGGGAAATAAAATTAAGAAACAATGATCTAGGTGTCACTTGATGACTTATATTTATTCCCTTTTCTGGTAGCTCTTGAATAATTTCTACAGAGTGTCATGCATTGGAAAGCCTGACAAGGGATGACATAGACTTAAATGAGCGAGTTGTAGATCATGTCCGATATATTTGTATTTAATGTCTACATAAGACATCCACAACTTGTTAATCATGTAATATTTTTCCTAAAGCTAAATTGCTTTATAATATTCAAAATACTTCTAAAGGTTAGAATGTGAACTTTCTACCAAATTAAATTTAACACTACTTAACACTGCCCTTTCTGTCTACTACTTTTTTGTTTCAAATTTATCGTAATGATCAAAATAATTCATTGAAAATTCTTACATCAAGCCAATCAAATTATTGGGGTTTTTGGTTTTTTTTTTTAACAACCTGGGAATGAGGTAAATATTGGTGTATCAATTTTTCGGTGCAAGTCAAATATGTGGTAAAAAATTCTGAATTGCAATTTTCTTTTTCTTTTTTTTGGTAGTGTTTTGTTATATTGCAAAATTTTATACATGAATTTTCAGCCTTTATCAGAATTTTTAAAACTATCTTGTTATATTGAATTTAAATCTCAGGTAAATCATTGAACAAGTACCTCTTCAAGGTAGTCCTCAAGAGATGATGCAATGTCTACATCCCAGTTCTTGGTGAGGTCTCGGATGGGCTGCAGCAGGTTGGCAAACCTCGATTCAAGCTCATCTTGAGTGTTTGATGAGCCCATGATGAGCCTAGATCTGCACATGAAAGACATTTGACATAATCTATGTAATTTTCAAGTTCCTTTTTTTTAATATTGCCATACAAGAACACTTTTCTCACTAGGATCTTGTTAACTCAAGTTCCAGGACTCAACATTTTTGATTTTTTTAAAAAAAATATAATTAGCAGTTAGTACTATTGGTACGTAAAACTTCAAGGTTTTTGAATGTATTTTGGCTTTCTGTCCTCTGTCCTACAGTGGTTTGGGACTTTGGGTGATTATTTATCTGTAGTGTGTATTTAGAAGCTACTATGTGATAATTCAATCATCATCATCATGTCTTAGGAAAATGGTCAAAAAAGATCTAAGGTACTGAGTTCGTACAATACAGGAAATAAAGCAAAAAAACAAGAGGTTTATAAAATGAAGAGGTCCAAGATGGTGCCCTCTTGTTTTAACAGATGGTATATGAACATGATGAAGTTTTAAAAAAAAAATACACACCAAGCCCTTGTGCCCTAGCTGTATGTTTACCTACATGTAAACAGGTCCAGTACAATCTCTTGATTTAGCTATATAGCTTTATTTAGCTATATAGCTTTATTAAGCTATTCAGAATAGCTTAATTTAGCTATTTTATCACACTTTTTTCTTAAATGTGTAATTTTCTCAGCAGGTACAAAAAGTCGCACCTTGGTGCAGTGATGATATTCAACCTTGAACTCTTCTGAAATTGCTGCATGTAAAAATCACTCATTAAATTGTGTCTCCTTGAGAGACTTTGTACTCAAAGTTCTAAGAGTTTTGGGGCTATATAACACAATTGATACAGTTACTTCTTCAATGAAATTATAAAGGAGGCCAATTATGGTCAACAAGATAATTGATTGGTAATAATTCAGTACAATGAGAAGCAATCATACTTATCAATGCCTCAACGCACACAAGGTAGTGGACAGTTACTCAAACAATAGAAATTTATCTTTTGCTTAAAAGTATTCAAAAGCTGCAAAGATAAAACTATCTTTGATTTTGGTTGTTGTTTTGATAGCCCATAGTACATATATGAATAGTCAAATACATGCGACTTTTTGTCTATTTTATACAAGAAAAAAATTTGTGAAAAACTGCATATAAATAGCTAAATCAAGCTATTTTGAATAGCTTAATAAAGCTATATAGCTATTTCAAGCTATATAGCTAAATAAAGAGATTGTACTGGACCTGGTAAACACGTATGTATGCTGAGTTTAATAAAGAGCTGAATCCATAATCAATAAAATGATGTTATTGCAGACATTTTTTTTTTTAGAATCATATAACGACAGTGAAGCTTGTAAACATGTAAGTTGGAAGAATAACAAAGTGAATATTCATATAACAAGTTACAATATAATGACATCTTTGTGACGAGCAATCGAGCATACATGAAATCTCATATATTCATATATGAAATTTCACAAGTGAAGCGTGTAAACATTTAAATTGGAACAATAACGAAGTAAGTGGATATTCATATCAAAGTTACAATACAATGACATCTTTTGTTACGAGCAGACATGAACCGAATACATAATTACAATACCCTCAATGTCTTCTTATATAATAATCATCAATGTTGTCATTTTCAACGTTTATATTCCCGCTTTCCTGTTTCGCCGTCTACTTTTTGTAAGAATTGTTATCATTGGCTTATTCCCGTTCAATTTAACCAATCCAAATCGGAAGAATGAAAAATATTCTTCCGCCAGAATTCCACATTTTCACAATTTTTGTATGCTCTTTATTTTTCTTCAAATTAATTCACCTGAATAAAAATTGACGATACTGATACAAAAAGCAGCAATTGGGAAAAATCATAATTTAAATATTCTTGGTCATTATGTTCATGATGAGACTATATTTGCTCGAAATAATATCCGGTAGTGTGTTCCAGGGCACCTTGCTGGTGCTGATTTCCTAAGGTTTTTAAAATGACAAGCATCAAGGAAGCAAGAGATTTTTTTCTTTGGTGCATCTCGGTCATTTATTTGATTGCATTTTCATCACTTTATGTTCAGATACCAGGTAAATTATTTAATGTCAGTGGCTTTTTAAAGTGACATTTTCGCGTGTGCTATAGGACCTAGTTACCACCATGCCAATGATATAGGATAATACAAGTTTCTTTCACTCATATGTCCTTCATTATTAAAGTGAGACTTAAGTTTTGGTAATTGCCAATGTTTTATTTTAGAACTAGAGTGTTCCAAGGAACGCATGTTTGCCTGCTTTGTTGTTTCATTAAAAATGTAAATAAATCTAAGAATGGTCACCGATTTATTTACCACTAACATTATAGTTCATGCATTTGTCTGGGAAGAAAAAAAATCCACGAATACTATAAGACTGCAATGCCAATAGAGTCTGACAATCAAAGCAAATATGGTTCCCCTACCCTCAAATGAATAATTAAATTGAAATTGTTAGAAATAATTATCAATCTATTAACACGTGTCCAACATCACTCCAAAAGAGATTTCAGTGGGTCTTTACTGCAATTGTCAGTCTACATGATTCCTTGTAGAATACCGATCACAATGTATTTTGATAGTTTTAAATATATAAGTTTGTGAGATAACTGAATATCATACAGTTTCAAAGTACAGTATCATGAGCTTATATACCTGTGTGTATGCTAATTATCAAAACCCTGCCTCTCAAAATTCAAAAAGAAAAAAAAAATGAGTAAAATTAAACTATTTAAGGTATTTTTTGCAAAGTGAGTCATAGGTCAAGGTCAAGTGGATTATAATGCTGGTATTTTCATAATGTTTTATGACAAACAGTGCACATGCTAAATAGCATAGACTTACCTCTTAAATGGAAAAGTAGACTATGAAAAATTTGAAAAGTAGGTCAAGGGTCAGGAAATCGGTAACCATGGTAATTTACAAAAGCCATAGTGCCATATATGTGCAAAATATCAAATACGTACCTATTACAGTTCTCAAGATATAAGGTGTGACAGATGGACAGAACAGTCAGGCACCAGGTAAAGTGATCCCTAAGTTCTGCTCTGCAGACAACACAAAAATTTTCCACGATATCACACCAGAGTCAATTTTCTGTTTTTACATTAGTATGTAATCTTGTTATAAAATTTACTAACAGCTCCCCCTTTTATAGCTAGGCCATCCTTAATAAAATGTTTGTTTGGAATTGTTGATTGGGGAGGGAGGGGTCAGACCCGGGAGGGAGGGAACTTATTTTTTTCAAAAATGTAGTTGAATTAAACTGTTGATAAAAATCACAATAAGCAGTGAACACTTTATTTTCTTACTTTTTGTAAAAGGTATCTCTCATCAACTAAGAACCCAGTTTTTGCTTAGATTTGATGCTAATATAGTTTTTGGATGGTGCATGTGATAACTGGCAGAATTGATAAAGTTTTTTAAAAAATCTACTTATATTTGGTCAATAATTTTTTTTCAGGAGGGGTCAATTCAGTGAGGTGGGAGGCAATACCAAATGATTAATAATTTTATTTTGGCCCTATTTACACAGGCACCTGACATAGTGAAATGTTCTACTAGTCTATTCTACTCTTACTCAGCCAAAATTTTTCTAAAATAAGCAAATCAGGAGGTTGTGATTGTCAAGTGTGCAAAACATCATAGGAGTTCAGACTGACTATCAATGTGGTCTCAAGATTTTACTTCAGTGAAACATTTACAAGTATGTCATGATGAATGTCAGACACCTCGGCCCAATGACACCTCAACGCACGCACATTTAGGCCCAATGACAGTAATTAGGAATATTTACATCCACTGAATATTTTCTCCTTTATTTCTTAAGAAACCACTACCATTTGTAAATTCATTGATGTTGCTAAACTAGTTATTAGAGCCTGTTTTGTAGGCTATCTGAAACAGTGTCTTTTCGTTTTCAATTAATGAAACATGAACAATGATGTACAGGTCAATTATGCAATTATTTTACATACTACTTAAACATACTTTATACATAAATGCGAGTTATGATCTTATACGACATAACTCGCAACTTCAATCAATTTATCATTATTTTACTTAAATGCAAGTTATGTATTTTTCCTTCAGTATAACTGCAACTATTAATTCCTGCATTAACAATACAAAAAAAATAGTTCAGAGAAATAATGCAAAATGATATGAAAAAATTCAATTCTTATAATAGAAATAAAAGATTGTAGGAAAGAATTGCTAGTATTTTGAAATTTAGTTTCATTTAGTGTATATATTGGGCATTTTCCGTAAGAAATAGGATGCAAGTTAAGACTGATCTAATTAAGTTAGAGAAATGAAACAAATATCTATCTGTATCATAGACCCCCCCCCCCCCCCCCCCCCATTTGATTTATGTAAAAAAAAAAATCATGAATCATCAGAAATAATAATTTATGATATTTTTTCTATAATAAATTTTGCTTGGGCTGAGGTATCTGTTAAATGGGCCAATGTGTCGATAATCTTGGACCGATCTGCTCATAGTCTGCCAGACCTAATGAAAATGTTCATTATTATAAATGTACTAGATCTATTAATAAAACTTATTTAAATTTGTAATACAGGCCCATGGAAATCTTCATCTTTTACACTATATTTCATGGACCAACCTAGCTAGACCCAAAATTTAGAGAGAATCACTTTCCTCTCAGTGAAATTTAGAGAGAATCACTTTTCTCTCAGTGAAATTTAGAGAGAAGTTTCTAATTTTAGAGAGACTTTTTAGTGCGCACAGTGTACATTGATATTAAAAATTAAAAATTTTAAAACATGTCAAAGTATATTCCTAATTCTCAACGATACCTATAGTCTTACTTATACGCTGTTTGATAGCGAAAAACAGTAGAAAATGTAAACTACCTGTTTAAATTAGCCTGACCAACAGGCTTTCATCTGAAGTTTTTTCCCTGCCCACCTGAGAAACAGACTGCCGGGCAGGCTATAATTTCTAACCCTGCAAAAATCTTAGAAGGTTGTGACAGGGTTGGAGAGTTGTTTCACCATCCATTCATCAGTGCCTGTTATTCCTGTTTTCCTGAAATTTCATTACGTTAAAAGTGATTTATCAAAAAGTACTATCATGGATTTGGAAACTCTTTAAGTATGATAATTTATAGTTTATGATATCTTTATTCTGCTATTTAAAAAAAATGTTGCATTTTTGTTTACTGTGCTTTTTTTTAAAGATATATTTTTACACTATTGATTCTCATAAAATTAACACATTCAATGTTTGATGATTTGATTTATTTTGAATTGCATTGATTAATTGCTTTTGTATTTACTTCTAGGTTTATTTGGTGACAATGGTATTTTGCCAGCCAAGTTGGCTATTAATTCAAAAGGTAAATACATGTATTAATTTCAAAGACAAATAAAAGAACTAGAAAAAAAAGTTTATGATTTGTACATTTTTCAGTGGGAGTTGAACTTACATTCAATTTCCCAAGGCAATCATGAAGAAACAGTGCAATGATTTTGTATGGGTTAATGATTATTTATAGTGATATATATCATGTATATGTACATTTAATATATTAAGATTCTACTTCTGCATGAGCAGATTTACTTCCCTGACAATCATATTCATATGAATGCATCTTTTGAAGTTAAAGGCCAAATAATCTACTGATTTCATTTGACATATTGTAGAATTGAGAAAATAGGATTAAACAATAATTGTACATGTACAAATTCTACACAGGCAAAAGTGCAAACATTATTTTCATATGAAATTCGCTCAAATATCATGCAATTTCTTTGCGTGAGAAGGAGATGAAAAACAACACATATGAAATTTGCATGAAAATATAGATGGATTTGGTCAACTTTTATCGTAACCAAGTGGTTAAAGTATCTGACTTGTGAATCATGAAGTTCAATAGAGATAAGTCTGTAAAAAATCATCAGACCACGACCAAATTCAAACTTGACCTGTATTTTATGTTAAAATACCTGGGGGAATATAGTGATGGGGATGTCCGTCCATGTATACATCCGTCCGTCCGTTATGCTTTGGGGTATACATCTCTTATCCACAACTTCTCTTATACCACGGAATAAAATTTAATGAGACATTCACAGAATCTTTGTTACATAGTGCCATTATGCACCTCCTATTTTACTTTTTGATCGGACACATATTTTGGGTTTCCATTAGCAAAACATAGACACTGTCATTTTTTCTGTAATATTGAGGGGTACCCAACTCTTATCTGCAACTCCTACTATATCACTGAATAAAATTTAATGATACTTTCACAGAATTTTTATTACATAGTGCTATTGTGCACCTCTTATTTTACTTTTTGATCAGACACTTATTTTGGGTCTCCCATAGCAAAACATGGACTTTGCCATTATAAACATATGGGAGTCAGGGGGTATCATTTTGTGAGCTCAGTGCTCACAGTACCTCTAGTTTTTACTAGAATTATATTGACTGTCTCTTAATATTCAAGAAGGAATTTGGAAGTTGTGTTCTATAGCAAGGGGCTTATGATTGTGATAATTTGATTTTGTAGAGATTTCATCGTGGGAAGAGCTTCTGGAGGGCCAGCCCACCTTACTGAGGCTGATGCCTAAGCTGGGGCTGGACACAGAGACCGGGATGGACCTGTTGTGTGTGTGTGGGATCCTGATCTCCTTTTGCTGTGTAGTCTTCTCCACCACCAGGGATATGATCTCCTTCACCTTACTCTGGATGATTTATCTCTCTCTGTATCAAGTAGGAAAATCTACAGTTTTATTCTTATGCTGTTCATAATTGTATATTTCATGTGCATTTGTGTGAATCGACATGATTTCTAATTTATCATGTATGTCAATTTCAAATATTAGTTTTTAAGCAGCTTCAAACCGTGTTTTGTAACTATCTAATAAGGGTCTGTCATCTTAATCATAATAATAAGGAAACAGATTAGTATAAGTTCAGGGATGTGCAATTAGCATCGCCCGACGCCCGGGGCTACCATTTCTTGGGGTCGGGCTATGAGTTTTCTGAACAGAGGTAGCCCCTTGGGCTAATAAAAATTAAAACTACCAATGTAAAACATGAAAACATGAAAATCGCTATCGGTATTTTCACTCATTTTTTTGCTATTAAATTCCCAACCAATGAAAAATTTGCAGGCAGCATGCTCCTATTCTTCATAAATCTCCATAATCTTATCCATATTGCAGTACTAACTGACTTATTTACTTCCAAACACGATCGTTTTTTTTAACCCGAATTTCCTCCATTCCTCTGTTTATAATAAATACATGCAGATATCTCATTAAATTATTTACGATCACTCATGCGAATGAAAGAAAAATGTTATGTGGTTTACATAAAATATATTTGTGAGAATTAAACTTTAATTTTAAAAAGAATGACATTAAAACCCTGACTTTTTCAACAATAAACTATTTTTTTCAATATTAGTTGTTACTCCCCCTACATTTGGACTAGTAACTTTTTACTTGGGGCTAGTAACTTTATTGCTGCCACTAGCCTGTGGGCTAGTGCTTAATTTTTGTAATTGCACACCCCTGAAGTTTTCAAACTTGTTTCCGAATCCTTTTTGAGTTTTTTGTACTACTTGCCTGTATTTTCTGCTTGTCATTTTCAAAATAAAATAAAATATGGTTTAAACTAACATATGTACATGTAATATATTTTGCCTCTGAATAGAATTTATTTTATATTATGCAACAATTTCAGTACATCATCTAAAATAATTAAGGAAATTATTTTTTGATTAAACAATTACAATGTATAACTTTGTACATGTATTTTATGTATTTTAGGTGGGTAAGACATTCCTTTGGTTTCAGTGGTAAGTGAAATGCCTTACAATTTAATGTTGTTAACTATTGATGCCTCTCTGTAAAAATGTTGATGATAATGATTTTAACATATACATGTATAATTATGGTAACTAAAAAAGATGTTGAGTTTAGAAGCAGGTAAAATGTAAATATGTTATTATTTGTATACAGTATAAAAAGTGTGCCTGCTGCACGGTCCTGTATTGTATTAAATTTTTAGGTCACCTGAGTTACTCAGGTGACCTATTGCTATCCGTTTTTGTCCGTCAGCGTTCGTCGTGCGTTGTGCGTTAACATTTGAACATTTTTAGCTTCTTCTCTGAAATCGCTCAACCAATTTCAACCAATTTTGGCTTATAGCACCTATGGGTGAAGGGGAACAAAAATTGTGAATTCATTGTCCCTGCCCCCCTGGGGCCTGAGGGGTGGGGCTAAAACCACCAAAATTAATGCAATCTTTAAAAATCTTCTTTTTTACTCCTGGACATCAAGCAGTCAAACTGTTGGCATGACTGTGATAAGAATTGAGCCCTCTACCAAAATTGTGAAATTCATGGCCCCAGGGTCAGGGTTGTGGTGCTAGGGTGGGGCTATATAGATAATATAGTGAAAATGCATTAAATCTTTGAAAATCTTCTTCTCTGCTCATGAGTATTAAATAAACTAACTAAGTACATAGTTATGATGAGCATTGCTGCCTCTTCCAAAATTGTGAATTTCATGGCCCCTGGGTCAGGGGCTCTGGTGTTAGGGCGGGGCTCTATTGATTATATAGTGAAAATGCATTAAATCTTTGAAAATCTTCTTCTCTGCTCCTGGGTATTAAATAAACTAACTAAGTACATAGTTATGATGAGTATGGCTGCCTCTTCCAAAATTTTGAATTTCATGGCCCCTGGGTCAGGGGTTCTGGTGTTAGGACGGGGCTCTATCGATTATATAGTGAAAATGCATTATTTCTTTGAAAATCTTCTTCTCTGCTCATGGGTATTAAATAAACTAACTAAGTACATTGTTATGATGAGCATGGCTGCCTCTTCCAATATTGTGAATTTCATGGCCCCCGGGTCAGGGGTTCTGGTGAAAGGGGGGGCTCTTGATTATATAGTGAAAATTCATAATTTCTTTCAAAATATTTTTTTCTACTCCTGGTTATAAAGCAAAGAAACAAGTGTTTAGTTATGATGAGCAAGGATACTTTTGCAAAATTTTTAAAACTTGTGGCCCCAGGGGTTCTGTTGTTTCTCTGAAGGGGGGGGGGGGCTCTATTTGATTATATAGTGAAAATGTGTGAATTCTTTGAAAATCTTCAACTAATTGCATAGTTATGATGATGAGGGTACCTCTTTCAAATTTGTAAATTTTCATGACCCTAGGTCATGGGTTCTGGTGTTAGGGTAGGGCTGTGTTAAATAGTGAAAATGCATTATTTCTTTGAAAATCTCCTCTGCTCCTGGGCATATTGGAAGCAAACAGAGTAAAAGTTTTAATAAGCAAGGTATTTTTACCAGAATTTTGAACATCTGGACCATTTAGTCAAGTGATATGGTCCTGGCCAGGGCTCTATTAATTTGTATTCTACAGAGTGAAGTTATTCCCCTTTGCCATTCACCTTTGATAATTAATCACTGTAGATAATGTATTTGAATGGTTAATAGAATAAGAAAATTATGCAAGAACATTTATTGTATAATACAAAAAGTACTTTCATAGTTTTAATAATCAGGTAGACTTGGAAATAATAGATGAATAAAAATGAAACAAAAATAACTTATCTTTTTAAATGTTCTTCAAAGGACAAGTGAGGCCAATGTGAGAGGTAATAATATAGACATTTTGTTAAAAGTCTGCATGGTCTGCATAGTGATAAATGGGGGACAGATAGAAAGATACTAGACCAATTATTTTATTGATCTTAATCATACTGTTTTCCTTGCTATTGGGAAACAAAGCTTCATTTATCAGTTTATGGATCCTCTAAATTGTTGTACTCAGGTGACCGTGAAGGCCCTTGGGCCTCTTGTTTATGTAATAATGTACTTTTTAGAAAAAATTTTGAGCATTTCTTGACTTCCACAGGGACATTCTCTTATTGGAGACAGGATTTCTCACTATTCTTCTGGCCCCTTTTAACCTGCAGTTTTTCTCCTCCCACCACCAACATGACAGAATTAGTCTATGGTTGGTGAGGTGGCTCCTCTTTAGACTGATGTTCGCCTCTGGAGTGGTTAAACTGACCAGTGGATGTCCTACTTGGTGGGGACTTACAGGTAAAGTTTTCAAGACTCCCTTTTTTTTTTTTAACATGCTGCCTCAGATTGCTATTGAATTATTATTTAGTGTGGTAAAACATATCATTAATGTTCACATTAGGAATGCAGTACATGCAGTTACATGTATGTAGGATATAAACAAACCTTTTCTTTAAAAGGTATATAAAATAAATCAATTTCATGATCATTTAAAGTAGATTTATAAAGAGCTAGGTTCACTTTATCCATTAAATAGCCCTGTCCATATACCAATTAACTGACCAAATCCCAATGTCCCATTTCAAACATGAGTATAAAGTAGAGACTTTGTGCTTTCATTTCCTATAAAAAGTTTCCTCTGAGAGTCCAGGTGTTGAAAAAAAGGCTTTGTGAGATTGCAATGTTCTTTAATTTTGAAGAAAATGGGTGTATTTGAGTACCTTCAGCAAAGAATTAAAGTATGAGCCCACCCCTCAATCCAAAAACTAAAACGTGGATTATAATCCGAAACAGTTCTTTCATTATATAATTGAACATTTTGGATCAGAAGTTGGGGTCTGTGCAGAATATTGAAAAACAGCTTAAGTTTGTGGCCATTTTTGAAGAAATTCTCAGGATTTGAAGATAACGACACAATTCATAACGTCATAATACATGAACTAGTGAGAAAATGATGTCATTTTTGATAGATAAGCAGTCACCAAAGGTCCAAGTGAAATTTAATATATTTTCAACTAAAACTGAGCAGTTTTGATTTTTCAGAATTTCACAGGGCCAAAAGAGGCCCAAAGTGAACCTTGTTCTTTCGTGCTGACACAAAGATTCTTTTTTTCTTTGTAGCTCTCACAGTGCATTTTGAATCTCAGGTAGGAATTACTAAGAAATTTGAATATTTTCAACCCAACTGTATTTTTTTTTTTTATTTTAACAATAACTTTGAAATAAGTATGAACATTCACAAAGACAGAGATTATTTCCCTTTGCATGTCTTAGAAAAGAAATTGAAATCAATAGTAAGAAATAAGAAAAATTGTTCAAAAGTTCAAACTAAAGAAAATGATAGTGGATAATAATCATTTGTAATGTTTCAGTGTATCCCCACTCCCCTTGCCTGGTTCTTTCACCACCTGCCCGTGTGGTTCCTTAAACTCAGCTGTGTAGCTACCTATGTCATAGAAATCGCCATACCTCTGTTGTTCTTCTCTCCAGTCAAGTCCATGAGGATGTTTGCTTTTTATTCACAGGTTAGTATTTCTCAGATTGAGTGATCAGATTTTGTGCATACATCTGAAATTATTCTGTTAAAAATGAAGAGGTTTTGTGCTTTTTAAAGTCTCTGAAAAGTTTAGCTACATGTATATCCAAACAAGAATTCTAATGTTATTTTGCAATGTTTGGACACCTCTGCCATTAGCTGCAGTAATGTAGCCCTCTCCAATTTTTTTAATCTGATATTTTCTGGAGAGGGCTACAATTCCACCGCATCTCCGTAATGGTGCAAATATATTTTTTAAATACGGGAGACTGCAGGCAAAATAAATTCTTTTTACATTTAACTTACTTCTAATAAGACGAAATTTTTATTGACTGTCAACAACAGAGCCCTTTAAACACGAAGACCAGGTAAAATAAATCTGCATGTTTACCAGTCATTCTCCTCAGCAGCCATGACAGTTCTTGCATGATGTACTGAGACTTGCGCTTGAAATTTAGAATATTTTGATAATGTCGGTGTTGATAAATGATTGTGTTATAAGGTATCAATAAACATCGATAAATAAAACCATTCCATGTGATATTTTTTTCGTAAACAGTGATATTTATGCTTAAAACAAGGAAATTCCTGAAGATCCGCTCCCTAGAATCCAAATATTCTCATTGGCTGTCCTAAAATAAGATCGATCAAGGTCAGTAAACATGGCGGATAAATTCAAGTTGTGATTTGAGTACATGAAAAATAACTGATATATGAATTGTTCTGTATATTTCTGGATCGATTTATGTCCTGCATAATTACATTTTTGGAGTTCAGGTAAGAAATATTAGTATAATAGGCATTTACTGATAATTATACCCCCCGCAAACGAAGTTTAGGGGGGGTATATTGGAATCAGCATGTCCGTCTGTCTGTCCGTCTATCTGTCCGTCTGTCCGTCTGTCTGTAGATGAGATTTTGTCCTGACCATTTCTTGGAAACTGTTGGAAGGATTTGTCTGAAAATTTGTACACTTATTATTCGCCATATGAAGGTTTGCACCTGGTATTTTCATTATGATTGGATAATTTTTCTGCATTTTACAGGTGTTTTTTCATTTTTATTATTTGGTTTTGTCTGGATCTGTTCCCAGAAACTATTGCATAGATTTGTATGAAAATTTGTACACTTATTATTTACCATATGAAGATGTGCACCTGGTATTTTCAACATTATTTGGTAATTTTTCTGCATTTTACAGGTGTTTTTTTTAAATTTTTATTGACTTAGTCATTTCGGGTTCATGTCTAAGGTTTGAGACATAGAATCTAGAACACCTGTACAAAAATGTGAACTACAGCTTAAAACTACTCATTAGAACTAAAAAAAACCCCACAAAGTATTAAAAACAGTTTTTACATTACACAGCAGATAGTGTAAATCCATTTGTCCCTTGGGAGTAATGAGTGGACATGCATCCAGTTAAAGATTAATTAATGAGTTCAGTGTGGGAAGCTGTTAGGGCATCTCTGATCAGGCAGGTCTTATCTATATCTCCGGGAAATTGGGCAGAAAGAAAGAAAGATCTCTGTTGTCTAAGTCTCTTAATTGTTATTTATGTCTGTCAAAATACATAGTTACTAAAACCAGCCTTTTATTAGCTCTTCTGAGCCAAAGGCTCAAAGAGCTAATGCTATGGCCATTTGTGCGGTGTGCGGTGTGCGTAAACTTTTTAGAATATGGGCCATAACTCAAGAACCCCTTGGCCAATTATTGTCAAATTTGTCACAGGGTATCCTTGGCCCAAGGGCTCCCTTTTATACTAAAACTGGGGTTGTGACCCTTTAACAAGGGGAGATAATTAGGAAAATAGAAAAAAAAGTACTGGTTGCTAAAAAATCTTCTTCTCAAGAACCACTGGGCAGATTATCACCAAACTTACACAAAAGGATGAGGATATGTTGTAGATTAAAATTTGCACGGGGATTTACCCTGGGGCAAAGGGCGTGGTCTCAAGGTCACTTCAAAGTTGACCAAAAATTACATTTTATTAAAATGTTGATATTTTGCTTACTATTAGGACTAGGATCATCAAATCTTGTCAGTTGGTGCATCTAAGGACCTCATATCATGTTGACTCAAAAGTAGGTCACGGTGACCTACTTTTTAAATTTTGCAGCCATTCTTTTTCAAAATGATTTAGAGGCATATTTTGAACAATTTAAGGCCTATGATCATCAAACTTTGTCAGTTGATGCATCTTGGGTCCTCAAAGTACGTCAACTAAAAAGTAGGTCACCTTGACCTACTTTTTGAATTTTATGGCTAATCTTTTTTAAAACAATTAAGGTCATTAATTCGAATACGGGGAGGCTTAGAATCATTAAATCTTGTAAGATGTTGCATCTTGGGGCCATAAAACATATTTATTAAAAAGTAGGTCACAGTGACCTACTTTTTGAACTTTGCAGGCATTCGATTTCAAAGCGTTTTAGAGGCATAATTTGGACATTTTAAGTCCTATGATCATAAAACTTTGTAAGTTGATGCATCTTGGGTCCTCAAAAAAGGTCAACTGAAAAGTAGGTCACCGTGACCTACTTTTCAATTTATATGACTATAATTAAATATTTCAGGTACTAATTGGCTTAGAATCATCAAACTTTGTCAGTCGATGCATCTTGGGTCTTCGGAGTAGGTCGACTAAAAAGTAGGTCACAGTGACCTACTTTTGAAAATTTATGGCGATAATTAAATATTTCGGGTACTAATTGGCTTAGAATCATCAAACTTTGTCAGTTGATGCATCTTGGGTCTTCAGAGTAGATCGACTAAAAAGTAGGTCACCGTGACCTACTTTTGAAAATTTATGGCTTTAATTAAATATTTCGGGTACTAATTGGCTTAGAATCATCAAACTTTGTCAGTTGATGCGTCATGGGTCTTCGGAGTAGGTCGACTAAAAAGTAGGTCACCGTGACCTACTTTCGGAAAATTTATGGCTTTAATAAAATATTTCGGGTACTAATTGGCTTAGAATCATAAAACTTTGTCAGTTTAGGCGTCATGGGTCCTCGGAGTACAACAACTGAAAAGTAGGTCACGGTGACCTACTTTTGAAAATTTATGGCTTTAATCAAATATTTCGGGTACTAATTGGCTTAGAATCATTAAACTTTGTCAGTTGATGCGTCTTGGGTCCTCGGAGTACAACAACTGAAAAGTAGGTCACGGTGACCTACTTTTGAAATTTTATGGCTGTATTTAATATTTTCAGGAATTATTTGGCTTAGAATCGTCAAAATTTGTCAGTTGATGCATCTTTGGTCCTCGGAGTAGGTTGACTGAAAAGTAGGTCACTGTGACCTACTTTTGAAAATTTATGGCTGTAATTAAATATTTTGGGTACTTATTGGCTAGAATCATCAAACTTTGTCAGTCGATGTATCTTTGGTCCTCGGAGTACAGCAACTGAAAAGTAGGTCACGGTGACCTACTTTTGAAAATTTATGGCTTTAATTAAATATTACAGGTACTAATTGGCTTAGAATCATCAAACTTTGTCAGTTGATGCATCTTGGGTCCTTGAAGTAAAACAATTGAAAAGTAGGTCACTTTGACCTACTTATAAAATTTTATGATTATAATTTTAAAAAATATTTAAGGTATTAATTGGCTTAGAATCATCAAACTTAGTTGATGGGTCCTCAGAGAATGACAAGTGATAAGTAGGTCACCATGACCATTTCTCAGGTACTAATTGGCTTAGAATCATCTTGGGTTCTCAGAGTGTGAATTGGAATTTCAAGGGTTTATGTAAATATACAGGATACTTTGAGGCTTCAAATAGAAGTGATAGGTTGTACAGTTTATCAGAAGAGCGATTCAAGGCCCATGGGCCTCTTGTTTTTAAAATGAGTTTGATATAAAGGTATTAAAATCAATTTGATTTTGTATAATTAATTATGATATTTTTTTTTTTTTCAACAATCAATTTGCAAAGTGTCATGTCTCACAAAGATGACAGATAGTTGCAAACTATTTTTTCAATGTAATAAAAAACACTGTAATTATTAGTGTTGATATTTTATTAGGCTGCACCTTAGTTTCATTCATTAAAATAAAGTGCCCCACCACAGCATTATACGCCCATCAAATATTGTTAAATTATCATAAACAGTTTAGATTCAATTGTTTGAATGACATCTTAGTGAGACAAGGCAGTCTGCAATTTGTTGTAAAGATATAAAAATTCAAATAAAAAATGTACAATAAATAATTAGTTTAAATTATATTATACAATATCATATAAGTTTTAATTATTATAAACAATATCAAATTAGTTTTAATTACATCAAATTTATCTTGAAAGTAAGACTAGCCAACAAGAACAATTCAATACAACACAAGCAATTAATTAAGAGACTGATTCCTTTTGCCCATTTCCCAAGAGATGTAGATAACACCTGCTTGATCAGAGATGCTCTACCAGTTATCACCTCACACTAAACTCATTAATTTATCTCTAATTTGACATGCAATTTTCTGCTATCAAAATTTTCCTTGACCAGTGCCTGATCATTACACCCATGGGAGAGGTGGAATTTTTCTTGCTACAGATTGCTGTAAAGAACATAATGAAAAAAATAAGACTAAATAATAAGCCGGACATGAAAAAGCTAACAGAGGGACATGAACGCTATAACATAATACGTCTCGTCTTAAGACGGACATATAAAAAATATAATGAGTAATTAAATTTTCACTGGAAATGTTTAAGGAAATTGTGAACACCTCTCACATCTAGAAAACATTAGTGATTTGGTACTTTCTCTGAAAAACCCAGCGGGGGGTATTTGTCCCTATTGGACAGTTCTAGTTTGAGCCGAAATTTGTGCGGGAGTGAATCACTCCCGCACTTGCACCATCACAGAGATCCTAAGGAGTTGTAGCCCCCCCCCCCCCCCTCAAAAAAAAATCAGGAGAGGGCTACATTATTGCAGCTACTCTGCCATGAAGAGCATCTACTTAGTTGAAAGAAAATATATTAAGTTTTATTTCTGAATGACTTTCGTATACATGATTAACATTTCCAATTATATTTCCTTAAGACACTTTGAAATTAGAAAACCATTCATTTTCTCATGAACTACCATGGATGAACATAAATTTTGTTACATCATAATACTGTGATGGACGTCAAAACTATAGTGCAAACTTTTGTTTTAAAAAATGACAGTTGAATGGCATAATTTACGGCAACTCATCTACTGTAATTATAAGATATGAATTTAATTTTGGAAAATTCTTGAGGTACATGAACTACATTGCTCCATGCCAGTATATTTATCATGAAGCACTAATATAGCGAAGTTTTGTAGATCACCTGAGCTGAAAGCTCAAGTAGTGAGCTTTTCTGATCACCTGTTGTCTGTCATCCATCTGTCTGTCCATCCATCTGTAAACTTTTCACATTTTCAACTTCTTCTTAAGAACCACTTTTCCAATTTTAACCAAATATAGCACAAAGCATCCTTGGATAAAAAGAGCAACTTCTCCTCAAGAATCACTTGGCCAATTTTAACCGAAGTCAGCACAAAGCATCGTTGGATGAAGAGGAGTTAATATTGTTAAAATGAAGGGCCAAGCCCCCTTACTAGGTAGCTAATCAAGGAAAGACAAAAATAGGGTGGGGTCATTAAAAACTCTTTTCAGAACCATTGGGCCAGATAGGCTGAAACTTATGTGGAAGCTTCCTGATGTAGTGTAGATTCTAAATTGTTCCAAACATGACCCCTGGGGGTAGGGTGGAGCCACAATAGGGAATCAAGTTTGACATTGAAATATATAGGAAAGATCTTTAAAAATCTTCTCAGAAACCACTGGACCAGAAAAGCTGAAACTTATGTGGAAGCCTCCTGAGGTAGTGTAGAATCTAAGTTATTAAATCATAACCCCGGGAGTTAGGATGGGGCCACAATAAGCATTACAAGGGGGAAAATCTGGTGAAGAACAGTAGGACAAAAGTTACTCAGGTGAGCATTATGGGCCATGGGCCTCTTATTTGAATCCCTGGCAAAATTTATAGCAACTAAATATGTTTGATATTCACACTTGAAAGAAAAAAATCTGTATCACGAATTTGCTTTATACACTTTATAAGGAATTTGTTATATCAAATTAAGGATATATCAAAGCAAGTTTGCAGGTCCCCAGGACTTTGCTATAACCAAGTTCTACTGAATTTCAATTTCTTAATTAAAATCTTCATACATGTACATGCATGTATAGATGGACCTCCGACGTGAATTAAAATACATGTGTATTTGCTGTGTCATCCAAGGGTTCGACACTAACGTTAGTCCGTTAGTCTCAGACTAATACATTTTCATTCGTACTAATAAAATATGTGGCTAATTAGTCCGAACGGACCAATAAAAAATTCTGAAAAACAATATGAATAAATTACCGATGTCCGATTCTCGACAACATTTACTGGAAAACCCCGCGTGAATTTTTTAGATTTCTAGCTTTTGGCGGGTAGTTACGCAATGCCGGGTCAATTCAGCGCTTAATTTTTCGACTGATCGATATGAAGTATAAGGTTTTAGTGATCATGATTTAGTATGACACTTTTAAGAAAGATGTTGGACGTTTTGGATGTAATGTAAAGACAAAGAAAAAAAAAAGGAGATCGGAATACAATCGTACTTGCTGATTGCGAGATTTCAATGAATCTGTGGAATAATATATTTCACGTAAATACTTTGTTTATTTCAAAAAACAATAAGTATTACATGTATTAATTGTCACGTTTAATAAATCTTTAAAAACATTGATGTTTTGTTTTTTGTTTTTTGTTTGTTTGTTTGTTTGTTTTTTTTTTTTGACGGACTAATAAAATCGCGCGTGGACTAGTAAAAGTAATGAAGCACTAGTCCAATTGGACTAAAGCCTTAAAAAGTTAGTGTCAAACCATGCATCCACATTGTTGCAAGCCACAAATTTAGAAAACCTCTGTGTGAAAGAATCTTTCTTTATGAATTTCTTGTAAGTTTATTGAGATTTTCAATACATCATCAGTACTGCTTTCTTTCCTTTGAATTGCAGTAGTCTATTCCAAGATGAGAAGTTTTACACTTTGAAAAAAAAAAGGTTGAATGCTGAACGTAAAATTGATGTAAAAAGAGTTTGGTTGATAGTCATGGTTTAATTTCTTTGCTACTCATAAGTATTGCCATCCATAAAATACTTCATGCATACAATTTTGATTGGTTATCTCTTTGGTTGTATATTTTTTGGAGTAAGAGAATACCATAAAAAAAAAAATGTTCCAGTCCGCTGTCTTCTTTCAAAAATAGAAAACTACTTTTGGAGAAGGATATTGTAAAAATATCAAACCAATCTTATATTTGAAATGAAATCAAACTTAGCATTTATAGATTTTATTTTGGAATAAAACAATACCTGTTCAATAAAATTTATATATTTATATAAAAGACTATTAGCTGAGCGTTGTTCATAGATATGAAGGTTTGTATTTGATTGACATGCACTTTGACTTTTATATCACAGATTTTGTTTGTAAAGTTTATGGGTACATACATGCTAATGTGTTTGCATAAATTTGAATATGGTTTGTATGATAAGTATTCAAACGTTGTGATAACACATTCACCTAGCATATACACACATACACACATACATACACACCCTCTCTAAGTCATCTGATTCAGTCCACAGTTTAATCTAGCATCATTCCAACAATAAAAATAAATAATATTATGTTCAAGACAAATCTTCTAAAAGAACAAACAAAGCCACTCATTCCTCAGTTGTAATATCTTTCCTTTTGAATTGAATAACTTGATTGAGCCATGCATCTTTGGGTGCTTTAATTTTCCACACAAGTCCCTCTACTTTGAGCAGTGTGTTAGCAATGATCTGTGAGATAGTTCTTATACTTGATGCAGGGAGGCTTTCAGATTGTCCTTTGATCATAAGTTCTATTGAGTCACATGAACTAAGGTCACTTGCTGAGCAGAGAAGGAGGAAATTGGCATCCTCCAAAGTAGCATAAACTGCATTTTTCCAGTCTATTCGGGATAGGACGTAATCTTGAAGGCAAGCAGAAATCCTTTCAAACACACCCATTGGTAGTCTAAGTGGAAATTTATATTCCAAAGTGATTGGTTTTATATTTTCTGGAGGACTTTTCTCAAAATCCTCAACCAGATCATTTTCTGCCATTTCTTTGTTGTACCAAGGCAGTACCATTAAAGGAAGTTTGATGTTGTTTCCTGTGGGAACCTCTGGTTGGGGAATTGTGTAACAAATGTCTAGATAAGGCATGAGTTCTAGGAGTTCTGTAAACTTTGAATCTGTAAGACGATGGTTGAACCACAGACAGCTCAAGAGTGGTCGAGAAATCTGTCCATATTTTACAAAGATTTCTACAGCTTCATTGAAAGTGTCTTTATTGAATTTTCCCATGCTCATGAAAATTTTGTTTTCGTCATAGTTGAAGAATTCCTCAAAGTTATGATGATAAAGTGAGGTGATTAAATCCACCAACAGTCGTGGTTTGTGGAACAAGATTTTGGAGAGTCCAGGATTATTTTTGAACCACATCACTTCTCCAATGTCGTGGAGGTATTGTAGAGCACTTTCTAGGGATTCTTCCTTAATGTGGGAAATACTGGCCACTTTTTCTACAACCTCCCAGCTGAGATAGTAGCCACTTCGTCTTTTGAGTCTGGCCCTAAGTTTGTTCCACAAGTCTGGTATACATCGCTGGCCATGCGGGAATAGTTCTGTGTCAATGGCCAGCAGTTCAATACTGTTTATAAGCTTACTGACACCTGGTAATCCCTCTTGTGAAGACACAGTGGCAATTTCAGGGATAATTTTCACAGGTTTTGAGATAAGGTATTCCAGTTTTTCTTTCAGATTTCTTAGATGTGTCATGTATTCTTCATTGGAACTACTTATTGCCTCTTTCAAGTCTTTCTCAACATTACTTAACTCCATTTGCAATTTTCCAAGATAGTTTTCTAAGTGTTCCTGGACTAGTTCTTGAACCAGATCTTCTGTTTCTTCCACAGTAAAAGAATCTTCACACAAATCTGTTTTGGTGCCCACAAGTTTGATTGCTACACCAGGTGTGTATCTACTGAGAAGATCCAACCACTGTCCGATGGAGGTTTGATGGGTTTCCTTTGAGTACTCACTATGGTCATAAACCAACAGAACCAGTGCATTGGCATCTAGGAATAGTGGATAACTTATTCTGTAGGCATCATCTCCACCAAAGTCATTTATTACAAACTCCACCATGTTTTCAGTTTTCCATATGGTTTGCTCAATGAATTCAGTTTTGTTGGTAGGAGGCAAACTCTCTGGTTGATTCTCTCCATTTTCTTGAACTAAGTTTTCTATGTTGCTTTCATAACTCTTTCTTCGCTTGTCTTCCATGTCCTCCTGCTTTGATTTCCTGCCTTTATCATCCTCTTCCATTGAAGAGAGAGAAATGCCATGCACTAGCCCCATCATTAAGGTGGATTTTCCACATTGAGATTCTCCCAGGACTAGCATTTTTTGACGCTGCAGATTCTCAGTTTTGATGATGGCCAATTTTTTGAGGTAGTCAAAAATCTTTTCAGTTTTGTCCGTCCTCCAGATCTCCATTGGTGGAGTGGTGAGTGGGTTTTTGTAAAGCCACAAACCATGCTTGTTATATCTGTCATACACATGAGCATCTTTCAGTTTGGTCAAACGGTGTAGCCTCATTGGTAATGTGTGGATGTTGTTTTCTGTCAAATTAAGTGTTTCTAATTCCACCAATTCACATATTTCATCAGGCACAGCAGTTAAGTCATTCTTTTCAGCATGGAGGTATTTAAGATTTTTTAAGCCTTTGATGTTAATTGGAAGTCTCTTCAATCTGTTAAATGACACATCCAACTCTTTCAAGTTCTTTAGGTTTCCAATTGTCAAGGGCAAAAAGTGGATTTGGTTGTTTGCAAGACGAAGTTTTGTCAAACTTTTCAGATTTCCCAATTCATCTGGAAGACTGCTGAATTGGTTGTCTGATAAATTCAGTAAAGTAAGGTGATTCAAATTGTACACACTCCTCGGCAACACGTTCAGAAAATTTCGACTAAGATTAAGTTCTCTTAGACCATGGTTAGTTGTTTCAGGCATGTTGTTAATCTTGGTACCTTCTAAATCCAGTGACTCAAGTGCAGGCAGGTCAAACACAATTTGAGGAATGTAGTCTGATTTAACTTGTCCAGTATTGAGAAACTTTTCCCTCATAGCATCCATTTGTCCACAGAAATCACGATAATTCAGACCTAGTGTTTTTAATTTTAATAGTTCTGGTAGGGTTTCTGGTAATGTTGAAATCTTGTTTCCCCACAAGAGAATTTCCTCAAGGTCTTGACAGTACACAATCTCAGGTGGCAGGGAGGTGATATTTGTGTGCTTCAAGTTAATTTTTCTTAGATTGCTCAAGTTTCCAACCTCTGGCACAAGAATGTTGATTTTGTTGCGACTAACATCCAAAACGTGGAGGTTTGTCATTTGCCAAATGATAGTAGGAAGTCGCTGTAGATTACATTCTGATATGATGAGTTCCCGTAAGTTGACGAGGGTCAGGATTTCCTGTGGTAAGCTGGTGTTGTCATTGGCCTTTGTTCTGCGTAGTCCATAGTTCTTACTAAGGTCTAGCTTTTCTAGCTTGTCCCATCTTGTGATCTCAGGTGGCAGAGTTTTGAGGTTGTTTCCAGAGAGGTTAACAATTCCTAGGTCTTTCTCTGGAATTAATTTAGAATACAGTGCATATACTGAATATAAATGTACTATCTTCATGATCATTTTAAAACATTCATTTGCATTTGCCTTCAAAATTGTTATATATGGTATGTGATCTTTAAATGAGTGACACATAAATTTTTGTTATATTCATAAATTAAGAAATCTTTAGATTCACTCTTTTCACAATTTCTACATCTGAAAATGTATTTATTCCTGTTTAGGTTTGAGGGTCACATTTTAAGTGTTATGTCAATATATACAGTTGAACTTCGGTATCTTGAACGTGGATATCTCCAACACCATGTATATGTCGAAGTGATTTTGAAGTCCCAAGTGTTTATTTCTTAAGTATTTTACCAAGGATATCTCGAATCCTTGGATATCTCAAAGTATTTTCTTGGTCCCATTGAGTTCGAGGTAACAAGATTTGACTGTACTTACCATACTTACACTGTCAATAAAGATACAGTCAAACCTCGTTATCTCGAACTCAATGGGACCAAGAAAAAACTTGAGATATCCAAGGATTCAAGATATCCAGGGTTAAATACTTACAATAAGGGGTTGGGACTTCCAAACCACTTTGACATATCCATGGTATTCAAGATATCAGTGTTCGAGATACCGAAGTTCAACTGTAGTTCTTATTAGTGAAAAAAAAAACTATTATCAGTTGAACTTACCAGCCAGCAGGTTAGGGGGGACCGCTGTTAGGCCTTGATCAGACAGATCCCTTATTTTGAGTCCTGATTGGGTCCTGGAAGGGGACTTTACTCTCACTTTCTTCTTCCCTGCTGAACGGCCTCTGGAGGATGCAGAGGATGTCCCCTTACGATTTGGGGAGGGACTCTTGCTTTTCTTTCCACCAGGGCTGACAGAGTCTCGTTTGCGGGAGCTTGACCTTGACTTTGCTGAGCTTTTTCTGGAGGGGGAGGGAGATTTGGATTTGCCAGATTGGGGACGAGAGTCAGACATCTTAGCAGAACTTGCCCTTTTTGGACTACTGCTAGCAGCTCTTGTAGGGCTAGGGCTTTTTGAACCCTGTAGAAAATTTAAAAAAAGAACAAACTTTTATCAAAAGTACATTTATTAACAGAAATTGAGAATCACATATTATGAATAATATATGTATATTAAAATATGTTTCTTCTCGAAAGCAAACATTAAAATCTAATGAGATTTTTAAAGACACTCTATAGATATAAACTGCATAGGATGTAGGAAATAACCAATAAGTTGATGCCTTATCAGACTTATCCCTCTTGTAATCTGTAGATTAATATCTATCTATGATTCTTCAGTGAGTCTTGTCAATTAATAATGGTCTTTTATCAGTTATGTATCAAAAATGTCAATAAAACGTTCATGGCTGATGGTAAAGACTTTTATGAAGTACTTGTAAATTCAGCATGCCTATTGGATGTCATAATCTAACACCATGAATTGGATTTTAAATTCTATTCAAGATTAAAAGATATTTTGAATCAATAATGTCTCCATATTCATGGACATTTTTGTCCTGTGCAGATTTATAGATAAGAAGATTTAAGCACAATATCCATGAAACATCTGTTTGAAGTGGAATGTACTGTAAGCTATAAATTCAATAAAAGTTATGTAATATGTTTGAGAAAAGCCTTGCTCTCATTTTTTCTGAATTCAACATTCAGTAAAAAGTGAGGTGGGAATGAAATAATGGAAAGCCAATATGGTTTATAGCTTTTACAGTTAATGTAGAATAGTTTAAAATTAAATCTTCCATGCATTTTGTAATTCAACATTTAATAAACAATTTTAAAACTCTCCTTTAAAACCTCTCTCCCTTAATTAGCCTGAACTAGGTCGACACCATTGAGTGTTTCAGGCTTAGACTTGACACATTTGAAGTAGAGACAAACAGAGGATTCATATTTTTCAGATTATCTCCTAAAATGTGGAGAGTATGTTGTTTGCACCATTACTTCTAAAACTCCCCAAATCTCTATTAGAATATATTTCAGACTTATCTCAAGTACACAAACGCATTTGTCAATTTAAAAAAGGATCTAGCTTAAACTATTTGACAGGAACAGCAAACAAATGCCAAGGTTTCCAATGGACAACTTTGTAAGCATTTTATAGTGAATGGTAATGCCCTGTGCTGGCTGAATAGGTAACACAGGTTACAGCATTCAATCAATAAATCTCTCACAGAATTCCATAACTAGCAACTATTCCACTCAAAGCTCATAAAGCAATTAATAAATACCAGGATGAAAAGATCCATTTAGTGCTAGAAGGTCCATATTGTAAATAATTGTTGTTAAAAAAAATGACTATGTAATTATAAATTCATTCATCCTTTAATTAGAATAAGAAATCAAATTTAAATTGAGTACATGTTCAAAATTAAATTGAGTACATGCATTTTCATAATTATAAAAGTAAAAGTCTTAATATATTTATTAAGATTCATTTATGTTTACTTATAATTAATATTGGTTTCATTCTTAAAATTGCAATTGTTACCTTTTGATCAGGGATCCTTTCAAATCTAGCTTTTTTAAGCATGCCTGCTCCTTTTTCTTTGTCCTTCATTCTTTATAATAATAAACTTAATATTTTTCTATAGAAAATTACTTTTCACAAGCCATTTGGTGTTCTCAATTGAACCAGTCTCTGATCTGATATTTCCCAGTATTAACAAATTTAAAGTGGAATTTGTTTACTGCAGGCAGGTTGTCACAACTCCAAAAAAAATACTGAGTTCTGTGATGACTGATTAAAATGGTTAATCTTTCGTTAATCCTCTGTTAATAAAAGGTTTAAAGCCCACACTAGCAGTTGAATAAATTTCTTCTGTGCCAAAAGTTTTCCTAAACTTGCATAGCCATCTCTAGATTGAAGTTATGTTTCCTTCCATTCCATTAAGAAATCAGTATACATTGAACATCAGTTATTTAATTCGACAACATGATCTTTCCATTTTTTAAAAAGTAGTTGTTGCTTGTAAGATCGTAACCTTGGAGCCCTCCTATGTAAACTCATGGATTTAAACTGAGGGGTTCTTCAAGGGAATTTAAAACTCAATTGGAATGGATATGATCATTTAACTTTTATAAAGTTGATGTAGGCTCCATGCATTTATTAAAGTTTGATGGTAAAAATTATAGATTTTAGAAGTCAGTTATTTTGTTATAAATTTTTGCGGATTTTAGTAAATAATTGTTATTATAGTATATTCAGTACATGAATTGATATAAAGCATGCAACTGTGTGAATAGTACATACAAATGTTTTTGTTTTCTGTTCAATTTTTTAGAATTATTAATTGTTATTTCCCCTTAATTAGTTTCCAGCTACATATTAATAAAAATCTTTATTTTATAAAAACTACCATTAAAAACTAAAGTGAAAGTTTTAACTGATACATGTACCATGGCAGCAGTTGAGATGGTTAGTACATACCCGCTGAGTATTTGTGACCAACTGACAGGTTATAGTAGATCCATTTTTGGTCATCTGAATGTTCTCCCTGCTTTCTCGTCTCATTGTGAAGGGAGATAATCGGTGATTTACTAGTACTTCACAGAATCCATTTATGTTTAAATTCACAAACTACACTGCACCATTTCAGAGATGGAAGTGTTGAAGTCAATACCAGTAACTAAGTTATGCAGTATCATTATAGAAATATAACAATGTTTTAAAGACGTAATACCCCTTGTGGTCAAATTGAAGTACCTGAACAATGAACTGTTAAATTGTTTTAAATTTGAAAAGACTACTTTAGCCAGAAACACATTTTAAGACTTTGGGCAGTTTATATCTTTATTATTATGTTTAAAATCAAAAGTAATTGCACTTGTTAGCTGTATTAATTCCTTAATGACCCCTTTCTTTACCGAGAGGTCTGAGCCAATTTAATCCTGTTGCAGTATGAATAATATTTTTCTTTTGGGTGTTTTTTAATGCAACACAATATTCCTAGCTCTCACCTGTGAGCAGCTGTGGATTAAGAATAGGAAAATGATTAATGGTCCACACAACGTGTGTTAATCTCTCTTATCTCTGCTGCAGACTAATTCAATTGGGCTTGTTTCACACACATTTTAAACTACTTTTCTACTTCTCCTTAAAATTTCGATAATGCTTTACATTTTTAATGTACAGCAAATCAAAATACTAACCTTTGTTTGACGTAAAATTAAGTTATGTCCAAAATAAAGAAATAATTCTCTACTTAGGAGTCCAAGAGAAAAATTCTGTACTGACACTTGGTGGCAGAACTGTACAAACTTAAAATGCCAAAAAACATTTCTTGATTGATAAAAATCAACATTATTTATGTGTTGTCAAGACAATAAAATCCTTAAATTTATCACCTGTTATTAAGAAAATTGCACTGAATAAATGCATCAAAAGTTTAAGATATATGGTTCAGCTTTATTCAAGGGACATTTAAATACATTGTTATGACCAGTGAAATGTGTATTTAGGATACTATAAGATTCTATACTCTGTTTGAAAGTGCTTGATAGGGCCTAAGAAAAAATATGCTCGTTTATTATTACATGCTAATGAAGAGTAGGGTTTGTAGATGGGATTTTGCTTATATATATATATATATATATATATATATATATATATATATATATATATATATATATATATTTTTTTTTTTTTTTTTTTTTTTTTTTTTTTTTTTTACCATAAAGGCATAACTTTTTATTTGAAAAAAAAGACAATTCGAAGCTCTCTTCTTCTAGCCATGAAATCTACCCAACAACTCTAACAATAGCTACTAAAAGTAACCTGACAATCTACAAACCGTTACATTTGAGAGAATCATACAAACGTGCAATTTCAGGATTTTACAAAGAAAAAAAATTATTTTGGTCGGTGTATGAAATTAAGGTGGGTCGGGTTACCGTAAACAAATATATTTTTTTCTTAGGCCTAGAACACACAGAACAAAAAAAAAACAGTCTGGCATTTTGATCACTGTAGATGAATAGATGAAAGAAGGTTGAAAAAATATTGAAAATAAAATGAAAAAGAAATTGAAAAGCTTTTAATAACATTCATAATGAGAAAATAATGTTCTTTAAAGAGATTAAAGAGATTATAAACTGCTTTTTTTTTTAAGAATCTTGATTCAGGTAACAAAGTTGTGTTTAGAAAGTTCATGAAATACTAGAGAATGGAAATTACAAAACTCTGAAACTAAATGGTTGAACAGAAAATTGTGTATCCCAGACAGAAAGATTGTATTTTTATTGTTTGCTTTTCTCTGTTTTCTCCTTTTACTGAATTGAAAAAGTCATTAAAGTAACAGCTCAAATTTTTAATTGTAATAATATAATATATTGAAATAAATATCCTGTAAGGTACCCCTTTAAAGTTCCTATTTCCTATCAGTCCATTGATCTATTTTGATTCAGTATTTCTCCTATGTCTGAGCTCTGGATGACAATAGTAAGTTATTCCAGTCCTACTATAATAAGTTGAATGGCACATCTACCAAAACAAAAAAAAGTTCACTGGCACTTCTACCAAAAAAAATGTTCAAAGGTTGTCCTACCAATAAACAATTTAACAATTCATGGAGTTTTACTTATAAACAGTTCAATGACAGTCCCTACCAATAATCAGTTGAATAACTTTAACAAATAAGAAGTTTAATGACAGCCATACTTCAAATAAAGTTTTATGAATGTTCTACTAATGTACAGTTTAATGAGTGGAATGCCCATGAAATTTATAAAGAGTTTGACAATTTGACAGTTGGACCATTGGAAACTTTAATTAAAGTAGTGCCCAATAATCAGTTAAATGACACTTGTACAAAAACAATTCAGTGGCATCCCTAATATAGAGTGAGCTCAAGTAGTCCAATGGTTCAGTGGCAGTCCTTATAAGCAACTCAGTGGCAGCCCTAGTGAACAGCTCCTGTTAGTCCTTCTTAAAATGGTTGAATGACAGTCTTAGCAAAAATCCATTAAACAGCAGTTGTAAAAAAGTAGCTCCAATAAAGAGTTCAATGGTTGTCCTACCCAAAACATTTCAATAGCAGACAGTCTTATAGCAGTCTTACTAACATAAGCTACTGCAGTCCTAACAAACAGTTTATTTATTGTCTTACCAATGAATGGTTAAATGGCAGTCCTACCAAACAACACAAACTGGCAGTCATAATAAACAGCTTTATGGCAATTCTAGGAATAAAGAGCTTAGTGGTTAAAATAAGCTCAATGGCAACCTTAATTAACATCTTAATGATAGTCCTGCTTAAAAAGCTTAATACCAGTCCTACCAGTAGGCAGTGTAATGACAGTCCTGCTACTGAACAGCTCAACAGCAGCTCTATAATAGCTCAGTGACAGATCTAATGATCAGTCTAATGACAAGTCCTACCAATGAACAGCTCAATTGCATCCTTATATCAGCTCAATGACAGCCCAATAACAGCTTAATGATCAATTTAGTGCATGTGACCCCCCCCCCCCCCTCCCTTTCTTAAATGATGTAATAATAGTAATGTTAGGTTACATGGTGTAACTTTTTATTTTATCCACAACAGTGTTTAATCATTCTGAGTCAATGACTGTAATATTTTACTATATATGTGTGAGCTTGGAGCGGGTTGATTTTTCTATCAAATAGGGTCAATGTCTGTAATATGTTATCATGCATTGTGGTGATTTGGAGCGGGTTGATGAAGTTTGTTTATTCACAGTTTTATTTTGTTTTATATGAATGTGCTATTCGCAGAGTTGTACCTAAGTCACTTAATTGTAAATGTATATACTTGTGAAACAAGGGTAGATTGATATATTTTTATAACATAAACATGACTGAGATAATTCGAACTGAGTTAGAGTTTGGTAAAAGATTAATAAAGTCTGTCATTTGTAAATCAGCACTTAAGTATACATCGCTCGACTATGACTGTGTGAAACAGTATGTGATTGTTGTTTGTTTAGTGTTATTTAGTTGATATGATACCTGTGAAATAGTCTAAACTTCTGTTGTCACATTGTTTGACAGTTTCGCTCTTCATTACGATGTACTTCCGGTTTAGAAACTTGTTAAAGTAATTGATAAATTTGTAATATAACCGATAAATATATCGAGTTTGAATGGCGGTATCTTATGAATGACTGTATTTCGAGATGAACTGAATATTGTTTTAAGTTTAATTTGTTATATTTTAATTGTTTATTGTGAAATATATTTTTAATTCAATTGATAAATATGTAAGAATTAATTATTTCATACTTGTATAGAATATTTGGTGACACTTGTTCACGTGAAAGATCGTGATGTTTTACAATTGACCAATCTGATTGTTTGATATAATTGATCATTAATTGATAATCCAATGAAATTTCATAATTAATAATTCTGTTAATATCCGTCATTTTACGGAACTTTTAGATTTTTTTTAGGATTTTATTTTAACTTTTATTTTGTCTATCTTTTATTTTTATTTAGGAATTTATTTTATTTTTGATTTATTTATTTAGGATAGGGTTTAACCGTGTAGGACACAAAATAGTAAAATACTATTGTCCGCTATCGGTTGTTTTAAAGACTCAACAGTCTATGACTGAGTAGTCTTCTTCAGTAATTAATTTATATAGGATTATTTTATTTTACATTTTTACTCCATTTTATTTCATTTTTATTTTAATGCAAACTACGTAATTAAAGTTATACGTTTGCTATCTTTCCCTTTTATGATGACTAAAGTTGATTAATTCAACGAAAGTCAATTATTTATTTTATTTTCATACAGTAATTTAATAATTATTCTAGATACGTAAATTTTTCTTCAATTATTTTTTTAATAGAGATTTTATTAGAGTACTTGGAAATTTTTAAACATTGCTTCTCGCTGAACTTACTTAAGATTATTAGAGTTATCTTCCTTTGCCTTTAGTGTTTACAAGCTGAATCTGTTAAATACGGTAATGCTTGTTGTTAGGTTTTACAAGTCAAAGTTATAAATAACCATGGCTTGTGTACTTATTTAATAAAGTATTTTAGGAGTTTAACAAGCTAACCTGTTAAATACAGTAAAGCTTGGTGTTAAGTTTTACAAGTCAAAGTTATAAATAACTACGACTTGTTGTCACATATTTTTATACGCATAGGAATAGATACGTTAGATTTTTGGGGTGGTTTTTCAGTCTGTTTTATGGTATGATTTTAATTATTTATTTTAATTAAACATTTATTATTATAGTTTGGTATGAATGTGGTGTGAATGTCGTCGTTTAAATAAATTGTTTGTTGATAATGCACTTAATAAATTTAATTGTTAATGTTTATAATCTTACTTCTTCTTTGCGAATGGTACATTTATAAAAGGAGTTGAGCGAATTATTAATTTTATGAAAACAATTTCTAGCAGAACCGCTAGCGTTACAATCAATTTAATGGCAGTCCTACCAATGAACAGTGCAATGAGAGCTCGATAACAACTCAATGACAGTTCTTCTACATTCTCTATCCAGAGTTGTCGTTCCCGCTACATTCCCACATACACCTCTGTCAACGCTTGTTATAAAAAATTTTGGAAAAATTCGTAAATGATGAAAAATTGTATTAATAATTATACCCCCGCTCCGAAGGAGAGGGGGGTATACTGTTTTACCCTTGTGTGTCTGTCTGTCCATCTGTGTGTCTGTCTGTCCGTAACAAATTTTGGTCGCAGTTTTTTCAGCAACTACTCATTGCAGATGCTTGAAATTTTAGCACAATCTTTTCTTAGGCATGTCATATGGTGGGATTGATTTTTGTACGAATTCGATGTCAACTTCCTGTTTATCTGTGCGTCTGTCCGTATCATACATAACAAATTTTGGTCGCAGTTTTCTCAGCAACTACTTATCGCAGGTGCTTGAAATTTTAACACACTCTTAGTTTAGGCATGCCATATGGTGGGATTCATTTTTGTACTAATCCGATGTCAACTTCCTGTTTATCCGTGCGTCTGTCCGTACCATACATGACAAATTTTGGTCGTAGTTTTCTCAGCAACTACTCATCGCAGATGCTTAAAATTTTACCACAATCTTTGTTTAGGCATGCCATATAATGGGATTAATTTTTGGTACAAATCCGATGTCAACTTCCTGTTTATCAGTGCGTCTGTCCGTACCATACATGACAAATTTTGGTCGTAGTTTTCTCAGCAACTACTCATCGCAGATGCTTGAAATTTTAGCACAATCTTTGTTTAGGCATGCCATATGGTGGGATACATTTTTGTACTAATCTGATGTCAACTTCCTGTTTATCCGTGCGTCTGTCCGTACCATACATAACAAACTTTGGTCGCAGTTTTCTCAGCAACTACTCATTGCAGGTGCTTGAAATTTTAACACACTCTTTGTTTAGGCATGCCATATGGTGGGATTCATTTTTGTACGAAATTTGTGTCAACTTCCTGTTTATCGGTGCGTCTGTCAGTATCATACCCAACAAATTTTGGTCGTAGTTTTCTCAGCAACTACTCATTGCAGATGCTTGAAATTTTAGCACAATCTTTGTTTAGGCATGCCATATAATGGGATTAATTTTTGGTACAAATCCGATGTCAACTTCCTGTTTATCCGTGCATCTGTCCGTACCATACATAACAAATTTTGGTCGTAGTTTCTCAGCAACTACTCATTGCAGATGCTTGAAATTTTAGCACAATCTTTGTTTAGGCATGTCATATGTTGGGATTCAGTTTTTACAAATCTGATGTCAATTTCCTGATTATCACTGTGTTTGTTCATAACTGAACTTGTGTATTCACATCAGAGCGGGGGTATATGTAGTGAGCATTGGCTCACAGACTTCTTGTTTGTTTTTAATTATATCTCCTATCGGTAAATAGGATTTATTTTAATTTTTAGTCCTTAAAGGGATTTTTTAATTAAGTTTTTAATTTTCACTCTGCAAAATAGTTCCCTGAAATCTTTGAAAATAAATTGTTTTGAGGGATGATATATTTCAATTAAATGATAAATTATCATCTTTATTAATAATTACAATAAATTATTACTATTTCAATTTTAAATTTTCACCTTTTAAAACTTGTACAAGAATCTTGTACAACAAGTGTTGACAGAGGTGTATGGAGTGTAGCAGAAGACAACTCTGGATAGAAAATGAGTTCTTCTAATGATCAGTTTAATGGCAGTCCTACCAATAAACAGCTCAATGGCAGTCTTATAAACTGCCCTACCAATAAAAAGTTCAGTATTTAATGGATAAATAAGGGTTGTCACTAGTAACAATTTTTCTCAACCGTTTTCTGATCCAGTACATTGTTACTTGGTAGTGAAATAAAACTGAGTCTTTAATTTTGTGCTGTGTTGTATTGAAATTTGCAGTTAAATAAAATCACTGAACCATTATATTTTGTTTATTTTTTTTTGTTTTAGATTCTTTTACAGGTGTTGATCATCGCAACAGGGAATTACAATTTCTTTAATCTTCTGACTATGGCTCTATGTGTGTCGTTGGTAGAGGACGATTTCTTCAAAAGAAGTAAAGGTAAGACTAGAGTGATAGTAGACTGAATGAAAAGAGTGACTTTTGTTTTATACATGAAGGAAGTTTGAAATGTGTTAGGACTTTTTTTTGGTTTTGATTTCAGTGAAGAAGAAGAATTCGACAGTACAAAGCATTTTCAACTGTGTCTTTTCACTTGTCATATACAGCTATTTTATATACCAAACAGTAAAGCAGTTTTCTCTCCAAGCTTCTTTTAATCCTACCTTTGAAATTAAGTCAAAAATAGGTAAGATTTTAGTATAAATGTATTTATAGTTATATATAATCCAGGGTTGTCCCTAAGAATTAAAATAGCAGGGAATATTAAAAAGTAAAAGGGGGTCTAGGGTTCCTTCCTTAACAGGGGGATGAGGGGAATGCTAGAGTAACTGGGGGATTATGTCACTATAGGCGGGGACATTCCCCGGCCCACGGGTTTTAGGGACAATCCTGTAATCAATTTAATTAAGTCAAACTTTTATTTAAAAAAGTTTCCCTTTGAATTTTATCTATACTAGGATCTCAATCAATTTCCTATTAAGAGAGTAACTGTCATTTAACCTTATCTTCAGCTTTCTCCAAAGCAGATTTTTTCCAATGGTTAGAATTTATTGTACCATGGACTATTGTTATTGGAGCTGTGTCTTTAGGATATCACATTCTTCTCTCCTTTGTCAGGTATGTAAACTCTGTCTCTCTTATTAATTCATGTGCTCTGAGAGCTAGCTTGGTTTTATTGGATCGTGCATGGGAGATTTTTCCAAATTTATCCAAAGAGGGAAGATTTCAAGAATTAATTTGTTTGTGTTTGTTTTCAAATGACACTTGTTAAAATTTCAGAATTCAAACTTACAATTTTTTAATCTGTACTTTCTGCAACTTTCCCCAATATCGAGCCCTGGCTCCCTTACCAGAACAACCAGAGTGGGCTATCAATGATTTGTACTTCAAAACACAGAGGTGAAGAATTTCAAGGACCATCTTTAGATGGATCATTTTATTTGATATCAGGGATATAAAACAAGACTAATTGACGAAAAGAAGTCAAACTCTTATCAGAAATTGACCTCTTCAGAATGATTTTAGTTGTCAAGGACCAAAAGTATTTCTTGTGGGAAAATTAAAGTGCATTGATTTCTAAGGTTGGGAACTGTTAACCAGATTCATTGCATGGTCAACAACCAGTATTGGTTATTATTAATATCAGTAACTGCTTCGTCATAATTTGTAATAAAAAATGTTTAAATTATTACCTCTGAAAATTTAGGTTATCTAAGATGTAAGATATTAGAGCCTTATCACTTAGTGTGTGTGTTTGTGTGTGATGGGGGTGGGGGTGGGTGGGTGGGGTGTTACACTCATAGAAATGTTACAATGTCACAGTCAAATAATTTATACAGGTGAATTTTTTATGTATGATGTCAAAAGTATGGAAGAAACCATACTAAAATGCTGTCAGGATTTATTTTGGTGTTATATATTGATTTTGTGCAATTTTTGAATGTTGTCTGTAAAATGTTATGTGTTGGTAAAAAACCAACCAGTTACTCAGATGAATGACAAAGTAATTAGTATCTTAATAATTGGCAAACTTTCAAAGATATTTCATATATTTATGGGTTTTTTTTCAGTTGCCTTGTAGAAGAAAAAGGATTAATATGGAAGGTCTGGAGTTTGATCCAGTGTACAATAATAGCAGTTGCTGCAGCGGCCATGTTTTCAATCAGTTTGGTAAAACTCGCTTGTTCTATTCCATTTTTTTCAGTATGATAATTATTTATTAAGTGGTCTGTCCAAGTTTTACACAAGGAATACTAAGTATTGAAACAATATTGATTCAGATTGTGTTCTACTTCATAAGTAAAGGTGCAATTCATATACTACTGTAGAGGCACCTGGGCATACATGCATACTTTGATAACATCCCAATACTAACTTACTACAGACCAACTCAGATATAGATTACCAGGTATTAGAGAATATATCAAAAGTTTTCACCATAAAACAAATCTAGGAATATTGAAAACTTTCCTAAGAACAGCACGGCCTTTAGTCAATTATTCAATATGCATGCAACTTCCAAGTACCGGGTAATGTAGTGGATCCTGGGGCTATTGTGGGGCCATTCAAAGAAGATATTGAAAATCAACAAAGGAATATACAGGAAAATTCTTTAAAACTTTCTTCTCAGGATCAGCAAGGCAGTATTTAGTTAACTTTAAAATATGCAGTCCCCCCATGTAGTAAACTGTCTTGAAGAATTTGTTTAAGTCTCCTAGAACTAAGGTGGGGCCTCTAGTATAACTCTAGTGTAACTCTAGTGTTACAAAGAATGTAAAGTGAAACAATTCAATTAAAAATATTTCTTGTTAAAAAAGAATTATAAAATTTCCATATTCTTTCCCTCGTATCCCCATGTAGCATAATTTAAATTTTGTGCAAGTCATGGTACGACCTCATGCATCCTCCGCGGCACACAAAGGATAAGTAATCAAGTCGTGCTCTTGGGTCAGATGGGCTTAGAAAAAGGGAGGTAAGAATTGAAAGTTTTACATTGGTATATAGATGTCTTGAAAAATGAGATACAATTATATAAATATATGTTTACAATCATCAATATATATGCCATTTGACTCAGATTGGTGACACATGGGAGGGTTTCATTATATACATATGCTTTCATTTGTCAGGAGAGAGCTAATTGTGACATAATTAAGTGTTGTGGCCCATGACCCTCAACTGTTTTCAGTATCTCATAAACAGAAAAAAAATGGATAGAAACCAAAAGCTTTGTCTTAATTTTGTGGCAGAGATTAAATGATCATAGGAGAAAAAAGTTTCAGATTTGTAATTTAAAAATTTTATATCAGAATTACCAATTATGACCATATTCTTAGATGTGATTTAAGTGCAAATCTTGTAAAATATTGAAAAATGCAAATTGGGAGACCTACCTGTATGTCCTTGTAACTGCTGTGATCCATGGTGTATGATTGATTTTAGGTACCCTACACTGTAATAGAGAAAGGCACACAGCTGTATGTCTCCCCAGATTTACATACATATAGGAGTTATCTCAAAGACTACCATCTTACAAATTCCTATGGTTTGTTTAGAAGGTAACTATTGCAAATATGTTGTCCTGGGCAATTCTCTGGGAAAATAAAATATCACACAAATCTAAAACAACAGTAACAAATTATCCACAGAATTAGTAAGAAGAAGTGATGCTTTGTGAAAGTTTTTAAATTGCCTGCTTATCTAGCAGAAATCTATAATCTTTTCAAACACTGGTCTCAATTTCCTGTTTGAAAAAAAAGATAATTGAGGGGGTAGAATTGATTTTAAGATCAATAGTAAGAGATTGAAAAGTTAACAAAATTCTAATTTAAATATTGATGTGTCTACTTCTATAACTTGATTGTTACATTGCTTGAGGTCTTGCGTTATAATGGTTGTATGGATATGAATATCAGTCATTGTTAAACTTATGTATTTCTGTGGTATCAGCTACCAGCATTTATATTTTAATGATCAGGCATTTGACTTTTGCTTAACTTCTTCCAAAATACTTTCAAAGATAATATGACATCGCAAGATAAAATTCTCACATCCCTTTGAGTTAATGGAGACTGTTATAGAACCAGTTTAATTCAGACTGGAGCTCTGGACTACATATATTCCATGCATATGGTACTCTAATGTACTGTATTTATATATTGCATTAGATTGTATTGTACAATACCTCTTCCTACAACTATTAATGTGTATATTACCAGGGGTATTACCTATAAAATAGTTTAACATTTCCCTAATGTTTGAACATAATTTAAATTGTTGATTAACCAACATTTCATGTCAGACCTATAATTTATGAAATAAAAATGTGACTAAATTTAGAAACGAAGAATTTGGTATACTTTTAGATGTGTGGGATATTATTCTCCTCTGCCCAGGACAACGGATATAGCTAATCTGCATGTAACCTTGAACTTTGACTTTTGCCATGTCATTTCAGATACCCTATACTGCGATTGATCAAGGTTCTGCCAAACATATTCCTAAACCAATATTCAGAATGAATGAGAAATTAGATTCTTTCCAGCTTACCAGTTCTTATGGACTGTTTAGAGTGTAAGGCATCTATTGTGATTTCCCTGCACGAATTTTATAAAACTATTCATTCTTGATTCTAAAATTCTGCTCTTTATGGAAAGATATTTCAAAACTTTTTAGTGCACTCAAAACAATTCAGATGTTATTTTTTTTAATCTAAAAGTATTATGTACTTAATAAATATGCAATGCCATGTTAATTTTTTTTATGCCCCTCTTCGAAGAAGGGAGGACATATTGCTTTGCTGCTGTCGGTCGGTCAGTCTGTCTGTCTGTTGGTCCACCAACAGTTTCTGTTCATTTTCTTCTCAGAGGTTGCACATACTGAAATGAAATTTGGTATACAGATTTTATAAGAATATCTAGATCAAGTTTTTTTTTGGGTATGATTGAACAATTTTTGACAGAGTTATGCCCCTTGGACTTAGAAAAATTCCAATTATTTCCAGTTTCCGTTCATTTTCTTCTCAGAGTTTGCACATACTGAAATGAAATTTGATATACAAATTTATCATAAGAATATCTTGGTCAAGTTCTGGTTTGGGTACAATCGAGCAATTTTTGACAGAGTTAGACTTGGAAAAATTCCAATTGTTTGCTTTCCGTGCATTATCTCTGCAAAGGTTGAATAAATTAATTACTGATATATCATGAGAAACGTGTTTTTGCCAAAGATGTGATATAGAAGACTATTTCCGGTTGATGCATCTCAGAGAGTACCAGTAGATGACCCCTATTGAATTTAAGCTCAAAAGGTCAATTTCATTTCCATGTACACTACCCATAATGTATACTGCCCATAATAAAGGCTTGTGCACCCTATAATGTATGTCCAAGGGGGGGGGGGGGGCATAAGTTTTTCACAAACATCTCTTGATGTTTTTTTTTTTTTTTTTTGGTAAAACTCAAAGATCATTGTTAAAATATTAGGAAAAAGTAGAAATCTGCTTTACTTTGAAAGTAAAACGTTTTAGGCAGGATCAAATCTTATTTACTTGTTAATTTAAAAGAAAGTTAAAAATTCCTGCTGGGAATTGCATGTTGTTGTGAATTTTATTTATTTACTTTTATTTGGTCTGCCAATTCAATAACATTGAAATTTTTGCTAATAAGTAGTGCATAAAATAAACCAGGTACTACCGATAATAGTGTTATGATTTGGATGTACGTGTAGTGTGCTGAAACAGTAGTCAGGGTTTGACACATGGTGCAACAGCTGAAGACTAGTACACAACGTGTCAAACCCTGAGTACTGTTTTGGCGTAATACATCCAAATCATAATGCTATTATAATTATTATGCTGACTGTTGTAAAATCTAAATGAACATTCTTTAATCATGCATTATATCAAAAAGTGTTTTAATACTTGCCACAAAGTCCTTGGGAGTAGGGGATTCAAGTTAGTTCAAATGAATGGCTTTAGCTGTCTTCCAAGGGGAGATAATTAAGAATTTGTGAAAATTTAATGGTATCATTTAAGGAAACTGTTTCTTAGAAGCATCATCAGCTAGTGTAGATTCAAATTTGTTAAAATCATGACCACTGGGGGTTTCTTAAGAACCACTGGGCTGGAAGAGTTCAAACTTAAAGTAAAAGCTTCATTACTTAGTGTAGATTTAAATTTGTTCAACTCACTAGATGGCGCGATAGTAAAACCCATTAAACTCAGTCTATTCGGTCAAGGGGAAGATGGCAGCACATGGGACTGACATTCTTGGAATCGTTAGTTTGATCTCTATTGTGGGTGCTGACACATTTTTTTTCTAGAACAGAAAGCTCTGCACATTTTGACATAGTATGCTTACACTTTGCCAAATAGTTTGATGACATAGAAACAATCTTACAGGAGGCATAATAATTTGAAGTTCTATTTTTTACTTTGGTTTTACTAAAGTCTTTCCCTAATGTCACATCATTTTGCATTATGTCTCAAAATACACTAATACTTGGCCTTTCAATTATCATTTTCCCCCCAAATTTTCTGCTTTGATAGGAACCCAGGAATTCCACTAGTACATGTATATTGATGTGGCAGCAAATTCAAAGTCTACAGGGATTTAATATTATGAAAATGGTTTCTACCATCATTATTTGTGATTTTCTGTTGCTTGGGGTGAATGCAGTCATTAATGTAATGTGTAGTACACATTCAGAATATAACAATATGTCACACTTGGATAATCCCTGGAAATAAGAACACTCTGTCTCACGACAAATTTTACATTATTGTTCATAGACTTTGAAAAATTGTGTTGTATGTGTTTAATTGCTATGCATATCAGCATATCAAATTACCTTGTTTATCAAGAAACAAAATGAAAACTTAACTGTAAAGGCAGAAATTTAAGCAAAACAAACATTGTTATGCATATCAAATCAGAAGTTTATTGGCTTCATCACACATTTTGTACAATAAAATTAATTTCATAAGCCAGCAGCACTTTTCTGTTGATCCACACAGCACTTAATGTAAACATATGTCACATACAGGTTGAGTTATTCCATTGTAGGTTAGTTTTTTTTTTTTTTGGTCAATTCACCCCCTCCCCCCCCTCCCGGGCAGGGCTTCTCCTATCTCCTACCCCCCCCCCCCCCCCCCCCCCAGGCAGGGCTTCTCTTAGCCCAAGCATTGTTGAAATATTCTGTTTCAAAACCTTTCCTAAGGTACCAAACTTTTTGTGGAGTGTGGAGTAGACTTGCCCTAACCTCTGAAAAAATGACCCTAAATGTGACAAAAATTGGTGTGCTGCTTATTTTGATTAATTATTCAAACTGTAGGAACTTTTTTGGGAGGAGCCAAAATTTTTGCCAGTATATACACATTGGGGGGAAAAGCCTTTTTAGGGTTGGAGTGTGGAGTAGACTTGCCCTAACCTCTGAAAAATGACCCTAAATGTGACAAAAATTGGTGTGCTGCTTATTTTGATTAATTATTCAAACTGTAGGAACTTTTTTGGGAGGAGCCAAAATTTTTGCCAGTATATACACATTGGGGGGAAAAGCCTTTTTAGGGTTGTGTGCCCTTAAAAACATCTGATGACCATTTTTTGTATTTTGGTCAAGAATTTCTGTTAGGTTATTTTTGCTCATTGTTTTGCAGAATGACAGGAGTTGGAGGTCGACCAGAGGTCATTATCGAGGGCAGCAACAGTGTGGACTCGGGCTGGAAAGAGTACGAGTTTTACTATAAACCAGGAAACATATCTAGATTTCCTCCTATTGTAGGTTAGTCTCTGACAACCATTCCTGTGCTGTTACAATAAATGATCAGTGAAAATTGTAGGAATTGCATTTAACAACATTTTCTACTTAATGTAAAGAAAGTATTAATACATGTATTCATTTAACAGCATGTGATAATGTATCTTTTGACAATCCAACATTTAGGGACTTTTGAAAACTTTGCAATGTAAATCCTGTTTAAGCAATAAAGTAATAAATGTTAAAGAGGCCACTGCTAATTCTAAAAAGCTACTGAAAGAAATGTTGATACCCCACCCCTACCCCTTCCAAGGGCAATCTTATCTAAAGTTAACACCAAATCAGATATCAACTTAGAGCTGTTTCAGCTATAACAGTGCAGTTGTTAGTTTTTGTTAGGTGTATCACTTTTTGTAGAAGCATCTTATTTGACAATCTTGCATTAATATCTCAGATTTTACCCTGTGTGATGGATGAAAGCCTAGCATTTGTTGTGATTATATTGCAGCTCCTCATCAGCCCCGTCTGGACTGGCAGATGTGGTTTGCAGCCCTGGGCAGCTATCAACATAACACCTGGTTTGTTCATCTGATCTACAAACTTCTGATTGGGCAGCAGGAGATTTTGGATCTCATACATCACAATCCTTTTCCTGATAAGCCTCCCAAATTTATCAGGGCTAAACTGTACCACTATCACTTTACAGGACAGACACCTAAAGATAAATGGTATCAGACAAAAGTTTTGATTTATCTTTTGTTAGGTCACCTGAGTCACTCAGGTGACCTATTGCTATCTGTTTTCGTCCGTCGTCGTGCGGGTGTGCGTCGTGCATAAACTTTTCACATTTTCGACTTCTTCTCAAGAACCACTGGGCCAATTTTTACCAAACTTGCCACAAACTATCCTTGGGTAAAGATGATTCAAGTTTGTTGAAATGAAGGGCCACACCTTCTTCCAAGGGGAGATAATTAAGAATTAGTGAAAAATTAATGGTATCTTTTAAAAATCTTCTTCTCAAGAACCACTGGACCAGGTAAGATGAAATTTGTGTGGAAACATCCTCAGGTAGTGTAGACTCAAGTCATAACCCCCGGGGGTAGGATGGGGCCACAATGGAGGATCAAAGTTTTACATAGAAATATATAGGAAAAATCTTTAAAAATCTTCTTCTCCAGAACAGCTAAGCCCTGATTGCTCATATTTATGTGGAAGCATCTTCAGGTAGTGTAGATTCGATTTTGTTCAAATCATGACCCCCGGGGGTAGGGTGGGGCCACAATGGATGATCAAAGTTTACATAGAAATATATAGGAAAAATCTTTTAAAATCTTCTTCTCAAGAACAGCAAAGCCATGATGAGTCATATTTATACGGAAGCATTCTCAGGTAGAGTAGATTCAAGTTTGTTCAATTCATGACCCCCGTGGGTAGGGCGGGGCCACAATGGATTATCAAAGTTTACATAAAAATATATAGGAAAAATCTTTAAAAATCTTCTTCTCAAAAACAGCAAAGTTGTGATGAGTCATATTTATACGGAAGCATCCTCAGGTATTGTAGATTCAAGTTTGTTCAAATCATGACCCTCGTGGGTAGGGCGGGGCCACAATGGATTATCAAAGTTTACATAAAAATATATAGGAAAAATCTTTAAAAATCTTCTTCTCAAAAACAGCAAAGTTGTGATGAGTCATATTTATATGGAAGCATCCTCAGGTATTGTAGATTCAAGTTTGTTCAAATCATGACCCCCGGGGGTAAGGTGGGACCACAATGGATGATGAATGTTTTACATGGAAATATATAGGAAAAATCTTTTGAAGTCTTCTTCTCATAAACAGCAAAGCCATGATTGATCAATATATGGAAGCATCCTCAGGTAGTGTAGATTCAAGTTTGTTAAAACCCTGAACCCCCCCCCCCCCCCCCCCCCCCCCCCCCCGGGGTAGGATGGGGCCACAATGGGGAATCAAAGTCTTACATAGGAATATATAGGAAAATTTCTTCTTCTCAAGAACTGCAAAGCCATGATTAGTCATTTTAATATGATCAAAGTTTTACATAGAAGTACATAGAAAAAATCATTAAAAATTGAAAAAATTCTTTTCTCAAGAACAGCAAAGCCATGATTGGTTATATTTACATGGAAACATCCACAGCTAGTATAGATTCAAGTTTGTTCAAATCATGACTCTGGACTCTTGGGATAGGGTGGGGCCACAAGGGAAAATCAAAGATTTACAAAAGCTTCTTCTATCAGTTTATTTTATACTCTATAGATCTTCTATAGATTGTTGTTTGATACTCAGGTGACCGTTAAGGCCCTTGGGCCTCTTGTTAATCACCTAATTAATTTTAATGTGCCCTTTTGAAAGACTTTATATAGCTCTTTGAAAGTTGACAAATTATAATATGTTTATTATATTGAATTTATTTAATGCAAAGCGAATTACATGTACTAGTAAATGAAAAAAATAATGGAAAAAAGAAAGCTGTTTTCTCCAAAGTTTTATATTGTGGGAGTATGATTGCATTCAAGAACTTAGTTGAAAATTTTTTTTTTTTAAATACTATAGGTACTCTAAGAAAAACTGGTGGGTGAGAGAGGAAAAGAGTGAATATTTCCCACCACTGGAAAGAGATAATACTTCACTGATAGATTACCTCAAGAGAAGTGGAATATTAAAGGTGCATGTCTCGGCAATATTCTTTACATATAATACGTTTTCTTTAATACTACACTAAGCTCACCTGTGATTCTGGTTATCTACATACATGTATATTAATTAAGTACCAGCAGAGTATAAAACAAGGGCATCGCAAAGCGGAGCATCACTTCATAACAGAGCACATAGATCCCGATATAAATTATTACTTGGGTATCTTCCATTAGGCACCCACTCGCTTACCCACACACATATTACTATACCACTTCCAACTTTGTTGCGAGGGGATAATAATCTTTACTGGAGCACAAAATGTTATCCACCTCAGTGGATCTATTCAGTTGATTAAGATTTTATCTTATAGTGTAGTATTTTAGTTTTAACCCAGCCACAAACTCATGTTGGCTTTTCTAACTGAGGTTTATCTACAGTCAGTATGTACATGTATGTCTGTCTGGCATAAATTTCTCTGTTGATTTTTCTTTTGGGCAATTTCAACCAAACTTTGCTGAATCTATACTTGAGTAAAGGGGATTTAGCTTTGCTCGGTTGAATTACACATCCAGTAAATTAGAATTGATGAATGTAAGTTTTGATTATAGATAAATATTAAATACTTAAACCCAGATTCAATTTATAGAACTTGATTTGAATTCTTTGTTTCATTTGCCTGTATTTCTTTGTTTTTCTCATAGTACACCTAACAGTGCATAGAAGAAATGTTGTTGAAATATTGGTGTCTGATACAAGTATTTCACAGAATTTTTAAAAACCATCACATTATGACATCACAACACATTTGTAGTAGAATTCAGTTTAGTACATGATCAGTAAGGAAAAAAGTTGTACACAGAAACAAATATCTTTAAAAAGTACGAGGGTAGTCCCAAAAAGTCGTAGACAGGGAAAACAATTTAGTTTCCCTTTGCTAAATTAAATTTCTTTTCTTGTCATAGTAAAAGGCAACATTTTATGATCATGAATTTGAAGTTTCATGATAATAGCACATTTAAAAAGAAAATACTGTAAAAATGAAGAAAGCGTATAAGTGTACATCGGCGCACGAAATCAAGTGCAATGTACGTCTCATAACGTCATGGTTAGTTTTAAGCACTGTCCCGTGTGATTAACACGCGTCTCTTAAGCATCTCATTAATTTTTTAAACTGACAAATCTCTCTTGACTGAGGGACTCATTATAATTCACCACGGTCCATAGTTTTTTTTTTAATCAGAATCAAAGTTCAATCCTCGAAAGGTCGTCTTACATTGTAGGAAGCAGAGAATACACAATGTTTTATGTCGATCGTGACCCATAACGTTCCTCACTGTCTGAATTTAGCAAACAGTTCTCTACTTCTTATAGGCCTAACTATTTTCGGTACAGAGGTGAAAACTGTCCTTGAATCGCTTATGTCATTTATAAACAATTTCTCGACTAATTATCTTTTTTCGTCTCTGAAGTGGACAAACCACATTTGAAACAATTTTATTACATTGAATATTTACAAAGTTATAACCATTGTCTACGACTTTTTTGGACAACCCTCGTAAAACATGCACATATTGTTGAATTAATTAATGTACAATACTGGGAGATCAATTTTAAAATAAATGATTGTTGTAGAGCACTAAGAAGGACAAGAAGACACTGACATGGATAGGATATTGTGTCCATTACGTCCGACGACTGATTGGTCAACCTGAGGGGTTCTCCTTTGTTATAACTATCACAGGGACGGCAGTCATGGCTAACGTCTTCAGTCTTATTTTATTCTGAGAGATTGAACTTTTCAAAGACAAGCTTTTCAGTCAGGCATGAATGTACATGTTAAACATTTTAAATATGTATATGTATCTGAATCATTTCCCATCATTGAGTGAATGTAGATTTATGAGATTGTGTGAGTGTTCTATCTTCATGGTATTTTGTGGATTATAACTTCATAAATGCAGATTAAGTGTGGTGTTTATGTCATTTGCAGAGTGAAATTCTTTCTTGTACATCCATTTGTAGAATTCCATTTCTTCTTACTTTCTTTTGAAAGAAATTTGTGAATGAAGTTTTGTTGAACATGCACAAAAGGTAACACATGCAACTCTAAGTCAAAACAATACAGAATGAATCAGTATTTTGTACCTGTCTGTGTGTCTGTATGTACCAGAATAAGGTGCAGTGAAGTAACAAATATGTGTTTACATTTCAGCTGAATGTTATATTATATTGGTTTCATTTCAGCAAAGTGAAAATTTTAATCCTAGGCATTATAACTCTGTACACCTAAAGTATAAATAGGTCTGCAGGGTATAGATTCCTATTTTAGTTTTCTATATTGTAGACTTATGAGGATTCTAAAAAAATCATGTTACAACCAGATAGTCTTTTCCAAAAAAGAGATGGAAATCATTCAATATTTTTCAATACTTCTGGACCCGGCATTATTTTTGACAATTGAAGTCTACCTGCAGTTTATTTCCCTGTGTGTGTTTTACATGTATCTGTATGTGTTTCTTGCCTTCACTATTGGGTGATATCAAATGCTTATTATAATGCCAGTGTCCTTGATCTTATGTTAATGTATATATAATGCAGAAATCTCATCTGCATAAAGCAATGTATTTATGTTACAACTGGCTTGAAATTTTATATTTTTGTTATGTTTAGTTCATGTGCCATATACTGTACATGTACTGGGGTTTTTTTCCACTAAAATTGTTGTTTGCATAAAGTCCCTTCATTTGCTTGAAGTCTTTTGCTCCAGATTGCAGCTTTTCAGAATCTGGATTTTATTTTAAATTCCTTTTGTTAAGTTTAGTAGTTGTCAGCAGAGTTCATACTAAATTTGGGGGGGGGGGGGGGGTTAGTCTTTGCATGCTTCTCTTATAAAATTGTGACACTCCACAAAATGTGCTCTCTGTAACCAGAAATAAACTTTGCAAATGTAAATATTTATCTGCCTTCTTTGAAATTCATAGATTGAAAAAGTAACTGAATATTTATGTTCTACTAATATTCCTTGTAAATCTTTCTTGAAAAAGGCTGTTTAGATCATATAGACTTTATCTTTTTATTACCGAATGAATTTTCCCCCTTTTAAAATATGAAGTGTATTCATTTTTCAACAAATACATCTTATAGAACAGATGGATTAATTTACATTATGTGGTGGATATATATACATTTGTATACTCTGTGCTGGGACAATGGACTAGATATTGTTTTCTCTTGTTAATGCTTTTATTCCTCCAATAGATCCAATAAATTAATGAAGAAATTGAAATCATTTATTTATTTACTTTTTTTTATATAAATTAATTACAACACCCTAAAATGGGGTCAAAAGAGTACATGCATTGCACAATGTTACAGTGAATTCACTAGCAACATACTGTGTAAATTTCATGAATTGCAACATAACACTGTAAACAAAACAATATGTATTGAGAGAAGGCCCTACGATTCTCCAAACTTGGATTCTTTTAAATCAATACTTAACTTACAAGCTGGAAAATAAATTGAAAGCAAACATTTTCAACATGCAAATTCCTTATGTTTTCAGCAGATAAAATTTGAATAAGTTTTATGCTGCAAAATGACTATTTGTATATGAACTGTCACAACCTACATTTGTATATTAAAGACTAGATTAAAATGTTCTTATTTACACAGGATAGGCATAATTGCGTAAGATGTGGACTTCGCTAAATAGTTACATTAAATCTGATTTTTTAGTTTGTAAGAATTGTGATAATTCATTATCATCATAAAAAGTTTATACATGTATCTGTCAAAAAAAAGTATTCTACCTCCCACATACAATGCATTGATTTATTATAAGTCATAAAACATCCATGCAGTGTTGCATCAACTTAAGTCTGAAGAAAAAAGCTTTTTTGCTAAAAGTTCTTTCATGTTGCAATACATCTAGCATATTGGTCCAAAATCAAATGGATTTGTTCATACTCATCACATAACAGTTAATGTAAGTGAATGCCCTTTCATCAGTATTATTTGTAGAAATTATATACCACAACATTCAAATACACATGAATAGTAACTCAAACATTTTACATTTTAACAATACTTCCCTTCTCGAATGTGGTAGGGAAAAAAAATCTATATCTGATCCAACAAATACACATTTGTTTTTGTTTTACAATTTCCAGTTAAAATACATCTGCCACAACAATTAACACTGATCTATAGGTCTTGATATAGAGAACACATGAGGTAGAGTTTGTTATAGTAAAAAGTAGTTGTCCCAAAAGCACCATCTACATACAACAAAAACATCACGTCACTTACTGTCAAATTAATCTAAATTAAACAAATTTGTTACCTAATTATTGTTTTAAAATTATTTACGAGTTCTTATTTCACCAGTAGGTGTTGATATAGATAAATTCAACTACATCACATGTAGATAAGTTTGTTCCTTTGCATATGTAGCATCTAATTTCGGAAACATTTTTTCACAATATGAGAAACTTCAAAATACTGTCCATCTATGTGTACATTTTAACATAATAACAAAAATACTAACAAATTGTGTAAAACAGTCCCTTCTATGCAAGTTCAGTACATACCAGGACATCTACATGTATATAATCCATTATTTCATAGTATTAAAACATACCTGTAAAGAGAAGATCTCCATGAAACAAGAAAGATGGTTAAGATTCTTAACTTTTAGCTGGAGATAAATTTCATGCATTTCAAACTGGAAATATTTTTTCAGTTTTTATAAACTGTACAAAACAATTTGCCTTCGTCAAGCTCGTGTGCAAGCAAAAAAAATATATACATGTATATATAAAAATCTCTTTTTCAGTCTGTACTTAAAAAAAAAGTATCTTTAAAAGAAGGATAAAAACA